TCTGCAAATCTGCTAGCCCCAAAATGGGAGCGCTTATGGTTTTACTGCATGTCAGAAATTTTGTGGAGTAGATTGGGAACTTTAAAGTAGGAAACTCGAAAGAGCAAAGAGACTTTGCAGCCTTGGGTCCCTGGGAATTAAGCTGTGGACTCACTAAAGCTGGCCATGGGAAGGATGCTCCCATGAAAAGCAATTGTAGAGGGACCTGTGGGTGGGTGGGGTTTGGGGGTACCTGGCTGGACACCCTGGCCTGTTTCGCTGCCCACACTATGCCCTCGCCTGCCAACAGAAGCAGCAGCTGCTGGAGCTCCGTGCCTGCCTGCACTGAGCTGATCATACATACAGAATGGAATGATCGGTGTTGACGGGAAGCTGTTTACCCATCTGATTAATTATGCCAACTGATTTTCAACTTAACTGCACTTTTCAGGTCACTGGGTAATGAGGCTGTACAGTTTTCATGCTGCTGCAGGCCTTGATAGGGAAGTGGTAGGGAGAGGGTGGCAACTGCTCTTTCACATCAAACAGGCACCCTGTTCCTCCAGGTTACTCGGCCCACAGCCCAGGCGCTCAGACCTTGGCTGCCTCCCAGATAAGCTCTGGAATCCTAGGTGAATGCATTCGACCCGTGTAAGCTGGCCTCTGCCCCCAGAGCTCTTAGCCATCTAGTCACCAACAAGCATTGATTGAACACCTACTATGTTCCAGCCCCAAACTGAGATAGGCACTGGGGGTGCTGGGAAGCTAAGTCATGCCTTGCCTGTCTCCCACCCCAAATTGCTCACAGTCTAGAGGGGAGATTATCACTTAAACGGCAATTACAGAATCTGGGTGCAGAGGGGAGCAAAGGCTTTGGAGGCAAGCCCAATCCAGGCTCAGTCATTGGGCTCACTGTACCTCAGTTTCCTCATCTATGGAAACATTGCAGGGCTGTGATAGGATGCAGTGTGTATGTAATGGAACTGTCCACTCCCTCCCATGTCCCTGATGCCATCCTCTACCCCAACTCCCTGCCACTTGTCTTATAGAATGTCTCATAGTCTGGATTTGCCTGATTGTCTCTTCCTTGAGGGATCAGCAAAGAAAAAGAAAATTTTTTTTAAACAGTCAAAATGCACATTATGCATCTTTCACAGGAATCTCACAGAAGTGATGTCCTCTTCTCATGATGTCCTATCAGGTGACCCAAGCTTTCCATTTGTCCTGTTGTTGGTCCTCACAGGGTCACGTCAATCACTTGATTAGGGTTGTGCCTGACAGGCTTCTCAGTTGTGAAGTTTTAACTCTAGCAACTATGTAAAAAGCTCAGAAAAAAAATATTGGCTCTGTCTTCGCGAAGCAGTGGAGCAGAAATGGGGCAAGGCTGGATCACTTACCACACAGGCGTTCTCCTATAGATCTCACGCCCTTTGAGGTTCTTCCCATGAAAGAGGTAGAAAGTGCTGTGGCTATCAGGTGGACTCTGGGACCACACCACTGCATGTAGCTCCTGGCACTGTGACTTCCTGGCCAGGTGACCTTGGGCAAGGTAGTTAGGTAACCTCTGTGCTTCAATTTCCTTCACCCATGAGACAGAAATGGTAATAGCATTGACTCATAGGGCTGCTATGAGAGTAGGGCCCTTAGAATAGCACCTGGTCCACTGGACAAGCTCCATAAATGTGAGCTGTGGACAGAAAAGCGAAGTTCATTGAAGTTACTTACCCAAGGTCACATATTATCATAACCTGAATTCAGTTGTGCCTGATTCCGAAGGCATGGGATATTTTTGTCATTGTACCACTCAAGGAATCAAACGGAGTGGGGGAGATGAGGCAGTGCACCCAGAACTAGTACCAGGCTGACTGAGACGACATCTACCAGCACCTTGTAGGGGCAGAAGAGGAGGAAGTACAGCTGCCTGGGAGTTGTCAAGACAGGCTCCCTTGCAGAGTTGGGAGTTGAGACAGACCTTGAAGACTGAGAAAGATTTGAGTAAGTTGTGATGGTGGAGGCCAGGACTTCCTGCTGAGAGGACAGGCTGAACAAAGACAAGGGACTTGACCTCCCACACGGGCGAGGGTCGGTCATCCACGGGGGCCCATGCTCTAGACCAGGGTTCCTCAGTCGTAGAGCTATTGTCATTTGGGGCCAGTAGTTCTACATTGTGGGGGCTGTCTCATGCATCGTGGGATGTAACAGCATCCTTGGCTTATCCCCACTTGATGCCAGTAGCATCACCCACCCCCAGTTGTGACAACCAAAAATGTCTCCAGACATTGCCAGATGCCCCCTGGGTGGGGAGTCAAACGTGCCCCCAGTTGAGAACAATCGCCCTAGATAAATGGAATTCTCAGGAAGCTCCAACACCTCGCATTTGCTAATAGGAGCCCCTCTTCTCATTCTTGTCAGTGTCCTCATGAGCAGGAGAGACTTCAGGCCACAGGAAGGAAGATGGTACGTCTTCGGTAGCTCACAGTGCCTGTAACTCAGGGCGCTTGGATACGGATTTCTCAATGTATGAAGGTGTGGCTCAACAGTTGGCCAGCATTCCCTGGTTCAGAAGTGCAGTCCTAGGTGGGATAATTTGTTATTTCAGCCAGTGGATCTGGCAAGAAGGATGACATTTCACAGGATGGGGCTGCGGAGGAGAGGAGACGAGGGACAATGCTGATGACAATCACTGGCCATCTTTGTGAGACTTTGAAGACAGTCACTTCCCCTTTCTGGGCTATAATTTACTCATCAGTAAACTGGAGCACTTGCAGTGCAACCAAGATTCCTTCCAAGTCAGGATTTCTCTTTGAGCCTTATATAAGGAGCAGTGAGACAATGCTCTTGGGGAAAGAGTTCTGTGATCAACTGGTAATGTCTGCCAGGAGAGCAGGAATGGGGGCAATTTGGCGTGACTGCCCACATAAGGTGTATTTGCTGTCTATTCTAAAGGCTTCTACTAGAATCTTGGCATGGTGCCAAGGGAGAAATAGGGAAAGGCAGTTTATTAGGTCTCCCGTCTTCAAGGTTTCAAGGATTATGGGGAGGAGGAAACACAGGATAGAGGGAGGGTTGCCCAAGGTCGTGCGTTGGATTCCTTCACTTGTCCTTCAAAAGAGGAGAAGAAATTCCTCTTAAACTCCTTTTCTCTTCTTTGGTCTGTGCTTCAAAAAACAATACTACTCTACCGCTGGACTGAGCCACCTGGGCCACAGCTTCCGTGGAGTTACAGATGCTTCTAGCAATTTTTCTCCAAAGAGTAGATATGCCACAGAGAGACATCTGGCTCCTACTGTACTAGGTATTGGAAGGCCACCCAATCCTAGGTTTCTGGCATAGTTCTCTTAGCAGATATATTGGCAGGGCCCTGCTTTTATTCCGTTGGCACTCACCACTCCCGCTCGCTGTACACACCTGCGACTCTGCCCAAAGGTTTTGTGAGCACGTGGGGCAGGCCAGCAGTGCTGGGGAATGGATGTGACCCCAGGAGTATTCCTCGAACCAATGACAAGTGGAGGCTGGCAGATAAATTCCGCAGCTTTCTCACCCATTGGGTAAGAATAATCTGAGGTGTGTTCTATGCCATCTCCCAGGGGTCCTGGTGGGACTGAATGCCAGGTGCTCCCACAGATGTTCACAACGGTAACCTGCTCCTGATCAGACCCAACTGTGGCTCCCTTCCCTTCCCATCTCTCTCTCCCCTCGCTTACCAGTGCTTCTTGGGATCGCCTCCCAACTAGCTACTTGTACAGTTGGCCCTCTGTATTCACGGATTCCACATCTGTGTGTTCTGCATCCATGAATTCAACCAATCAAGAATAAAAGATTTAAGAAAATAAAGTTATGTTGTTGCTGACATGCACTAACTATGTAGTTAGGCCTATGATGGATGTGTCTGTATTGAACATGTACAGACTTTTTTCTTGTCATTGTTCCCTAAACAATACAGGATAACAACTAATAATATTTGTATAGCATTTACATTGTTAGGTATTACAAGTAATCTAGAGATGATTTAAAGTATACGGGAGGATGTGAGTAGGTTATATGCAAAGACTGTGCCATTTTATATAAGGGACTGGGGCATCCTAGGATTTGGTATCCACGGGGGTCCTGGAACCAAGTCCCCATGGATACTGAGGGACAACTGCGCTTGAATCCTAGTCTCAGAGTGAGTTCCTGGCAGAAGCCAATCAAAGACAGTCAGGACTCCAGATATTGCATTTCACTGACAGAATTGACCATGACCTGACCTGGAAAGAACAATGTGGCTTCTCCCTTGGGGATTCCTATACTTCAAACACTCGAGACAGACAGATCCCACTGATCCGAGGGCCCAGACGCAGCCACACAGTCTTCTCAGGACGTTATTTCAAGCTGCCTCTTCCACCAGACCAGTGCTGGCCCCAGAGCTGTCACCTCTCTGGGGGCTCTGTACAAACACAACTATGACAATCACAACACGAGAGAGAGAGAGAGAGAGAGAGAGAGAGAGAGAGAGAGAGAGAGAGAGGAGAGAAGAGCTTTCTCAGAGGACGGGGAGGTCTGGGAGCTTGGGTGTTACCCAGAGAAAGGAGGAGCACCTGGCCTGATTCCAGCTGCCCTGCTCACACGGTGGGAAGGCGGAGCTCAGGGGCAGCACCGTCCCCCACAGGGAAATTCTGGGCTTTGAAGCAATCAGCGCTGCAACTAAAGAGCACAGGAGGGGAACCCTGAGACTTGGGGGATGATGCTGCTGAAACAGCCTGCCTGCTTTGTAACAGAGCCCTGAGGGTCTGGGGGACAGTTGTGCAACAGGCAAGCGGGAAACTGGCTCACCCTGGCCTCCCGCTGCTGCTGGGAGGAGAGGAAATCTCCCAAGGCTGAGTGTGCCAAGGCCTGATTGAGCCAGCCCTCCTGGCCTGTGGGCAGGGCAGGTAGTCACTCAGAGATAGGCCAACCCCTAGCTGCAGTTGATGATCTCTGCGAAGCATTGCTCAGGACAGCGGGAAATCACTTCCTTGGAGCGGGTGCGAGGGGTGGCAGGTTGTCCTGGATGCTGGGTGCTTCCCGAGAGTGCCGGGAACTCCCCTCCTCCTCAGTGGCGTGGCCTGCTTGCCTCTGACATCAAGAACAGCTGAAGTGCCAGCCTCCCCTCCAGGACTCAGGGACAGGACAGCATGAGCCGGTCAAGGCATACGGGCAAGATCTGGAAACGCCTGGAAGATGTCAAGAGGCCGTGGATCCGGCCAGCCAGGACTGACTTCAGCGACAATGAGAGTGTTCGGGTGGCCACAGATGCCCTGTTGGATGGGGGGCCCGAGGCCTACTGGCAGGCACTCAGCCAAGAAGGAGAGGTGGACTTTTTATCCTCGGTGGAGGCCCAGTACATCCAGGCCCAGGCCAAGGAGCCCCGCTGTGCTCCAGAGACCCCAGGAGGGGCCGAGGCAGGAACCAAGGCACTCGACTCCTGCTCCCTGCAGTCAGGTACCTACTTCCCTGTGGCCTCGGAGCACAGCGAGCCCACCCTGCTGCACACCTGGGCCTCGGCCGAGAAGCCCTACCTGAAGGAAACGTCCAGTGCCACCGTGTACTTCCAGACAGACAAGCACAACAACATCAGAGACCTTATTCGCCGCTGCATCTCCCGGACCAGCCAGGTAGTGATGGCGGAGCCTGTGTCTTTTGGGCCACAGGTGGGAGGAACAGGGGCTGGTAGAGGAGGAAGAGTGGGGTACGTCCTGCTCTGAGGGACAGAGTCCAGATGACTGGGGTTTAAGATGGATTCAGGGATGTCACTCTCTGCCTTGCCCTGGGTTACCGACTTCCTGATCCCATGTGTCGTAGTCTAGGTCCCAGCCACCACCATACATCACCAGGACTCCTGCTAGCTTTCTGCCTGGCCCTCCTCTTCCATCTTGGTCCCCAATCGTCCAGTTTCTACACTGCTGTAGACACTTTTCTATATTTCCAATCTAACCTGGTCCCTTCCCTGCTGCCTACTCCATCCATCTTCTGCCTGACCACCAGCTGGATTCAGGCACTGCACAGTCACTTGTGGAGGCCAGTCTACGCAGGGTCTGCAGGTCACTCAGTATTGAGTGGCAGGAGGTGGGAGAGGAACTGGAGAGGTGGTGAGCCATGCTAAGGAGTTTGCTCTTCCTCTGGGAGCAGTTGGGAGCCATGGAAGGCCCTAAACAGAGACAGGACCACAGCCTACTTCCATGGATAGCCTGTGGCTGGAGATCCAGCCCCCTCAGCATCTGTGTGGGAGAAGCCATCCCTGAGCCTTCGTGTGTACGTGTGCACGCATGAGAGATATCACAAACTCTGCCTGCAAAGGCCTGACAGGCCACCAAATGGGTGAAGTTCATGAGGACCTGGGACGAGAGGTTGTGGTGGGGACTGGCAAAGGAGGCCCACCCAGAGGTGGCCCACAACTCAGTGCCAACAGAGCCAGGCCTTCCTACCTGCTGAGAGGAGCAGGGAATTCTGATTATAGGTGAAATCTTCTGATTTGTGTTCTAAACTCGTAACACGCTGTGTTGGTGAAAGAAAAGACATCAGCAGGCCTGAGGGCCACAGAGGCAAGAGAAGAGGCCTCGCTAGGGAGTAGGGGAAGGAGAGGGCCTCAGTCAGGGAAGCATGTTTCACAAGCCCAAACCTGGCTTCTTTCTGGGGAGTGTCACTCACACTGAGAGCGGCAGCTGCAGCTGAGAATCTCCCTGACACCAGTGGTCCCCACCCCTCAGGAGCACACTGAACTGAACACACAGGGATACCAGAGCTACACACTTAGAAACAGGCCCTCAGAGCTGGAAGGGACCTTAGTCCAGCGTGGACTCTGAGACCAGGGAGGCTAAGGGACTTGCCTTGGTTGTGCAGCCAGCCCCGGGCAGTGCCCACACTCCTGGCTTCCTGCCTGGGCCCGTCTGTCAATTCCTGTTGCTGCCCTATCATGGAAACATGAAACGCCACTCCGAAGCAGCCCCGCGACATGAAAAGCATACTCCACCCGTTCCGCTCCACCCGTTCTTACCTTCCACTTAATTTCCCAGAACTCGACTCCCTATCCCCCCGCTTTCCACACGTAGCCTCACCACTCGTGCTGGCTTTTTCTGGAGCCATAAGATTTCATGCAGTATTGAACTTGGGAGGAGATTCCGTCAAGAAACTGGGAACCCAGGAAAAAAATGAGCTTACATGTCAACTTGGTCTTATTTGAGTTCTTTTAAATGTAACCAAAATTTAACATTGTAGTGATGAGAGAAAGAGGGAGGGAGGGAGGGAGGGAGAGAGAGAGAGAGAGAGAGAGAGAGAGAGAGAGAGAGGGAGAATCTTTACAGCTGACAAATTTTTATCCTTGGGGTTCATTCTCGCCCCTTTGAGCTTCTGGAGGGTGGAAGGAATACCCATAGCCCTTTGCTAAATAGCCATTTTGTGCACCTGGGGTAAGAGCTGCAGTTGACAGCAGGCAGACACTGATGGCCTGTGACTCCAGGGCATTGGGAGGACTCCTGACCAAATGCCAGTCATGGTGCCTAAAATTCTGTCAGTCAAGCTAGGACAGCAGAGCAGAGCAAGGGGCTCCCTTCCCTTGGGGGAGCTCCCTGCTAGCTGCCTGGGGGAGGGGAGGGCAGGGGAAGGGAGGGAAGGGGAGAGCAGAGGAGAGGCGAGGAGAGGGGAACCCTGGTGGATGGCAGCCCCGGGTTTGAGCAACCCTCTGTGCCTGGGAGCATAGGGAGGGTGACTGAGGTAGGCTTCACGGAAGAGGTGAGTCTCAAAGGCTGAGTAAGAATTTTCCAGGCAAAGAGATGAGGGAAAAGACTTCCAGGCTCAGGGAGCGTTAGGCACAAAGTTCTGGAGGTGTGAGAGGGCTTGGGGTGTCCAGGGGTTGGGGAGACACGGTCATCTATCTGGTGAGACAGAGTTTGTTCATGTGGAGTGTGAGGGTCGGGGTAAGGATCGGAGGCTAGGAGCAGCTGTGCCTTATACTTTGGGTCAAAGAGTGAGCAACAGTTCTCTGTTCTTAGTTGTGCCTGGGATTTGTTTTAACCAGGTGTAAGCCACATAGACATGGAAATGATTGTCATGAAGGAAGAAGTTTTTCCTCAGTTCCCTAGAGGCAGAAGGCATAGATGCTATCCATGCAGGGCCACGCAGGGAGCACCGAGGTTGCTCAGGACACAGAAGGAGCAAGAGGAACGCACGGGCACAAGCCTTATTGTGATTTTGCAGGGAAGATAGGGCAAGGCAGGGCGAGCAGTTTAGGGCTGGCTAGTTTGAGTCATTTTGGCAGGCTCTGGGCTATAGCTGGTCTCCAGTTGTCCAGGACCTGGCCCTGGGTGATTAGGGCAGGGGGACTATTGGGTGGATGTGTGAGTTAGATAAGGGAGGTGGTTGGGGTATGGCTCTGGATGGCTCGGTTTGTGTATCAGAGGCGTGCTCTTAGGCAAGGTGTTTGCTATCTCTAGGAACGGCCAGCTCTGAGATGCCAAAGCATCAGAAAAATACAGACAACCAAACCGTGGTTAATACATCAACCACGTGTGGCTCCGGATGCTGTGCCATTTTCAAGGGGACTGTGAGGTCCTGCCCTTTTTAACCCTCATCTGTGTGAGGCCAGGTTATCTTCATACACTTCCACCAAACAACATATCCCAACAGATTGCTGCAGAAGCAGACATGAAAAGCCAGCTGCCTTCTGGTAAGCCAGACACCTCGGAGATTTGCAAAAAACTGTAAAACAATGTCACTGTGCTCACAACATTCTGTTGTTTTGGAAAATATAGCTACTTTTCATTAAAACGGTTATTTAGGTTAACGTGTAATGAGCTTAATATTGTTTTAAGTAACAATATTAGTTATTTTAAAATAACTGATAAACATTTTAAAGTTTCCTCAGTTTCTAATATGACAAATACCAATAGTCACAATCCATAGAGATGGAAGCTCTCTGGAATCCTCAATAATTTTTAAGAATGGAAAGGAGTCCTGAGACCAGAAAGTTGGAGAACTTTAGCAGGCAAGCCCCCTCTCCTTGCTGGACCCCCTCTATCTCTGCCTGTCTGTCTTTCTCTCGACAAGTAATACAGATTCATTGAAAAGAGAAAACTCTCCCCAGCTCTCTAGGAGGCTGGGTGGGTGGACAGGGGCTAACAGAGGAGCCAGGTGCCAAGGACCAACTTACAGGCCAAGCCTCTGCCCCCCCTACAGGTCACTGGCTCATTGCAAGGCCAGTGGGCAAGGGGACAAGGAAGGAAGGTCTAGGGTCAGGACAGAGTGAAGCCACCTGAACATAAACTGTGCAAACTCCTGAAAGGAGCTGATGAGAGGGCCCTCCTCCCCACACCTGAGAACCAGGATTCCAGGGCCGAGAACACTGCTGGGGCCTCAGGTCAGGACAAGAGTCATTCCTCTGACAAGGGCCACTGAGGAAAGGGCCAGAGCTGGGAGAGAGAAATCCAGCTCCCCAGGCATGTGGGGGTCCCTGCCAGGGCAACAGGGCACTCCTAACAGGCATGGGAGCCCAAGTTTCGCCAGGGTGGGGGGTCCAGCTCGGTGCTCCATATCCCCACCATCCTCCTAGGATCTGTGATAGGCCCTTTCAATGGAGTTCCTTAGAGTAAGTTGCTCCCCGCTCTGGGTGTCCTGGCTGTGGCACAGTACTGGCATATTATCACTGCTCCAGATTGGGCTGTGGGGGCGGGGAGTACCAGGGGAGCACCTGGCACAGCCAGGGGCAACACAAGCAGGTGGGGGCCTGTGGTTGGACGTGGGTGGTCCCTGGTGGGCTAGCCCACAGCTGCCTTTTCAAGGGCTATTGGCCACATCACTGTGGTCAGCAGAGCGGTGCTGATGGAGGTCCACCTGGGCCTTCTTCCTTTTCTCTGTCCACGTTCTCTGGGAGCTCTGCTCTGGGGTCCCCCAAAGCTTGACTTTCCTTCCCTGGCCCATCCCTGACCCACATACTAAGGAGGCACTTTGTCCCTCAGGCTGTATCCAATGAAAACAGACAGACAATGGAGTCCTTTTCCTAGGCCTGAAGTAGAATGAGTGGGGGCATGGCTCTGAGTTGGGGCCTGGGACATCTTCCCTGGGTTCTAGCCATGTGGCTTTTGGGAAGTTACTTAACTTCTCTGCACCTCCGGCTCCCCACCTGGGAAGGCTGGGTAACAGTGCCGTGAAGGTTACAGGAGGTGAACTTATGGCTGAGAGTAAGTGCTTAACAGATCGTTGCTGCTGTAATTACACTCATCTGTTCAAAGCAAGCTCAGAAACAGGAACATCAGTGCATAGGGGAAGAGAAAGGGTAGAGATAGAAGCACAGAGTGGGTGTTGGGGTGCCAAGTGCTCCCAACACCTGCCCCCAACGGGCCCAAATCCCATTCCCTCTTCACCCCCTGCCCTTCCTGAAGCAGCAGGATTTCCAGCCCATGAAGGACTCACATCCACCTGGCAGGTAGCTAGAGATCCTTGGCCAGGATTTGAGATCCCCGCAGGATTGGGGCTCCTGTGTCTCACTGATACTCCAGGTTCTCAGAGCCAACCTGCTAGGCTATGTTTCCAGGCCAACTTCCTTCTTGAGCAAGGAAGGTATCATGGAAAACGCTTCCTTTTCCTTCGCAGCCAGCCCCACCTCTCTGTGCTGGGCCATCTGACTGGCCATAACGAGAACCTCACTCTTTCTGTTTTATGCCCATAGAGGTGTGGGCACTAATTTTAATCCTCTTCCGTAACCTGGATTAAAACAACGTTTTTGCATGGTGTTATCCTACCTAACATTATCCACACTTGCTTATGAGCAGTGCCTATAAAAATCATAGTCGTATTTTAACTACACACTAGAATAACAACATTTACTCTTGCACATGCTTACATTTATAGCATCTGGGCTTAAACAGTCAGGCCCACCGTGCATGATGGCTAATGCTCTATTATTGTGCAGTGTTTTATAGGTAAAGAAACTGAGGCTCAGAGAGGGTAGGTGACTTCTTCAAAGGCACTCAGCTACTCTCCAGTAGCCCCGAGACTGGAGCCAAAGTTCCCAAACTCCCAGTAGACCTGGATTATCGGTTACCCCTCTGTGTCAGTTTCAAAGAGCTGTAACAAGTTATCACACATTTGGTGGTTTGTATCAACAGAAATCTTTTCTTCCACAGTTCTGGAGACCAGAAGTCCAAACTTAAGATGTCAGCTGGGCCATGCTCCCCTCTGACGTCGCTGGAGGAGGATTATTCTTTCCTCTCCCTGCTTCTGGTGACTCCAGGCCTTTTTTTGGCTTGTGGCTGCCTAACTCCAGTCTCTGCTTCCATCTTTCCATTGCCTTATCCTGCTCTCGCTATCATTCCTCTGGGTATCTTTCATAAAGACACTTGTCATTGGATTTAGAGTTCAAGGGGTCATCCGGGATGATCTCATCTTGAGAGTCTCAATTACATCTGCAAAGGTCCTTTATCCAAATGAGGTCACATCCATGGCTTCTGGTGGTTAGGATGTGGACATATCTTTTAGGACATCATCATTCAACCTACTACACTCTGTAAGGTAGCACGCCTATGCAGGGGACTGAAGAAGTTACTGGCCTTGAAGCAATCCAGCTGGGAGACAAACCCAGCAGGGGGCAAAATAGAATGAGGCCTGCTGAGCCTGTATTTGCAAGCATTCCTGAAATCCGGACATTGGGTTATTTGAAAACCTGACCCCTTCTCTGTCACTTGGTCACCTGCTCACCAGCCTTATCTCAGGGAAACAAGGACTCACTGGAAAGCAACTGGGAGGATTTACTGACCTCCTGGGGAGAGAGAATTGTCTCTTTTGTCAGTACCTTAGAGGAGGAGGCATTTATTTTTCAGCAGAGAGGACCTCAGGGTTATTGGTGCTATAAGCTTAAACGTGGACACTTAATCGTGTGATACCAGGGCATGGTTCTAAAGGATCACGGGTCTCATGATTAGAACATCTTTTCTTTCTTTTTTTTTTTTTAAAGATTTTATTGGGGAATCGGGGGAGGGGGAACAGACAAGTTGCTGTCCTTTTGTTCTTCAGTCTAGTTGTGGAGGACGTTGCTTCACTGACCCACGTTGGTATCATCATTGCGCTCTTCCCAGGTGAGGCAGATCGGTCGCCGGCCTCTGGACGGCCGCTCACCACAGCTCTTGGCAGCTCACATCAGCTGCCGGCTGCTCACGCTGGCTGCCGGCCACACACGGTAGCTTATGGCAGCCCACTGCAGTTTCACTGCAGCCGTACCGTCGCCGGCGACTCACGGCAGCCCAGCTCCAGGTCGAGCTGTTGTTCACCGTTTTAGCTGTAGAGGGCAGTGTCACTGGCCCTCATGTGGGATCCGAACTGGGGCCCTGCTGCTCAGAGCTGGAGTCCCAAGCTGGCCCTAGAACATCTTTTCTGACTTTTGGCTCAGGGTGAATAATTTATCAGCACTTCCCTCCCCTGTCCAGACACCCATATCAACTGAGAAGAAAGTCAGCCCCAAGTGGGTACCAGCTGTCTCCTTCACCTGTCTCTGTGAATGGTGGAACATTATTACTACTGGTACTGTTGAAGAAAAAAAATGACCACAGACCCCCACCAAACATGACTGCTAGTTGGGGCTTTGTGCATGTCTATCTGCACACCACTTTCCCTCACAGGCAGTCATAGTGGACATACCACCATTTTGTGCTGTTTTCTTTTTTCACTTAATCCATTAATTTTAAGTACATATTTGTTGAGCTCATATTATATTGCAAGTCTTACTGTAACACTTCACCGGATCTTATAGTTTCTATGTAACCATTATAATTATCATAATAATCTACTTGTCAATATACTACAATTTTGGTATTAAGGAGGACTCTTCATTGGGTGACAAAAAAGTCTAATGCTGCTCTGATTCTGCTGAGTGGGAGTTTTCCTCACACCAGCTGGGTGTTCTGCAATTGAACTCACACCAATGAAAGCCCAGGTTGACACCTGTGTTTCTGACCAACCAGCTACAGATTGAAGATTCTAACAATCCTCTCCTTAGGTTCGATTAATTTGCTAGAGTAGCTCATAGACTCCGAGAAATATTTTACTTACTGGATTACCAGTTTATTATCAAAGGATACCACTCAGGAAGAGCCAGATGGAAAAGATGCACAGGGCAAGGTATGAGGAAAGGGCTCTGAGCTTCCATGCCTCTCTAAGCACACCAGTCTTTCCAATTCTTTGCTTGGAAGCTCTCCAAACCCATCCTTTTGGGTTTTTATGGGGGCTTCATTACATCGGAATGGTTGATTACATCATTGGCCATTGATTGACCCAACCTCCAGCCCCTTTCCCGTCCCCAGGGCCAGGGAACTGAAAGTTTCCCAGGGGCCAAGGGACTAAAAGTTCTAACCTTCTAATCACAGAGTTAGTTCTCCTGGCAACCAGACCCCATCCTTAGGTTTGGTCTAGAAGTCATCTCATTAACATAACAAAAGACACTTTTATTGCTCTCCTCACTTAGAAAAGTCCAAGGGTTTTCTGAGTTTGGTGCCAGAAACAGGACAAAGACCAATTATATGCTTCTTATTATAAATTACAATGTCACAAAAAGTAACCCCAAGTAAGCTTAAGAAGAGGAACATGCATTGACATCCACAGTGGAAAAGTCAAGAGTAGGATTGGCTTCAGGCATGACTGAAACCAGATGTTCAAATGATGCTGCTGGCAACCTGTCTCCACCTCTTGGCCCTGCTTTCCCCCAGGGCTGGCGTCATTTTCAGGCAGGCTGCCCCCTCATGGTGGCAAGATGGCTACCAGCAGCTGTCGTTTATAATCTACTAGCTCAGCAACCCCAGTGGAAAGAACGCCTCCTTTCCCTAGGAGTCCCAGCAGTAGTCTTGGGCTGACGCTTATTAGCACACTTTAGGTCATGTGCCCACCCTTGGGCCAATCTCTGTGGCAAGTGGGGGATACAGTGTTCTCATTGGTCTGGCTTTGGTGATGTGCCTTCCCCACATCCAATCCAGGGTATGGCAGTAGCCCCACCCAGACCATGTTGATTGTGGAGAAGCGTTGATTTCTTAAAGTGAGATTGGGGTGTCGTTGGTGGAAGAAGAGGAATGAATGCATGCTTGGCCAGCAGGGAGACCTGTGTCTCTCCCCTGTGCTGGATATCTAAGGCTCTCCACTCCCTGAGTTTCTGTTACGAAAGGGGATGCAGTAACTGCTAGCTGAGCAGGACTCCCTTTGTCCCACTGGCACATCTCAGCCTAGTCTAGTTTATATGTGGGGTCTCTACAGGAATTTTGTTTGAGGCACAGATGCCACGGCTTAAAAGCATTTGAAAACCAGTGGCCACAGAGTGCCTTTGCGCTCCATGTGGCTGAGGCTCCTTGACACTACATCTGTCCCTTTCCCCTGAAGCTGCCCAGCCACCTCCTCCTCTCTTCCCCCCTCTGCTTCCTCTTTTTGCTCTTCCTTCTCCACTCCAACACGGGGCCAGAGGGTGCGGTGGGGCCGGAGAGGTGGGGTCAGGACAGAGGCAGGGGCCTCCACGCCAGGTCTCCCTTTCCTATCCTGGAACCCTGCCCTGGCAGCCCCTCCCCCAGCCCACCCTTCCCCTCTCACACAGCACCAGTGGGACCAGCTCTCCCATGCCCACTGGGACGTAGGCAATTTGGCTGAAACCAGTTAGCGCCTGACCCTAACTCCTCTGGTATTTGACCCCTCTGCCCTGGCCCAGGTGCTGGCCATCCTGATGGATGAGTTCACAGATGTGGAGATCTTCTGTGACGTTCTAGAGGCAGCCAACAAGCGTGGCGTGTTTGTCTGTGTGCTCCTGGACCAGGGAGGAGTGAAGCTCTTCCAGGAGATGTGCGACAAAGTCCAGATCTCCGACAGGCACCTCAAGGTAGGGCCCCCCAATGAGGGTCCCAAAGGTACTTTGTATTAGAACAACATAGGCTGTGCCGTGGTAGCAGGTGCCCCCAGCTCAATGGCTTAACATAGTCAAGGTGCGTACGTCTTGCTCACAGTCCAGGGAAGGTCAGGCAGCCATCCTCCATCTTATAGCTATGCCAGAAGGAATGCCTTGTCTCTAAGAGAGCAGCGACAGGGAGAGGGGCCAGAAGGATGTCGCAGGCTGTTTTTTTGAACCTGACCTGGAAGAGATTTTCATCCCTTTCGCTCACAGCCCTTTGGCCTCCCCTCGATGCACAGGGGCTGGGAAGTGGAAAGGGCCCATGGCCAGCTGGTGAGCAGCAGACTGCTGCATCCGCCTTCGTTCTCCCACCTGGGGAAACCCCATGGACGTGCTTAAGGCAGCAGGGCTACATCCAGGAACTGTTTGATACTATTTAGGACTCCACGGCCCCAGCCGGAAGCTGATCCTCTTAGAGTTAATCGAACAACCGACTTTCTTCTTCTGGCCAGGAGAAAAGAAACTTAGAGATAAGGGTTCATTTAAGTCATGTCAAATTTGGGGCAGCAGCTAATTCAAGGTCAAGTGTCAAAGCATCCATGGCTTTCTTGAGCAGGCCTGGCTGAACAGCTGATGGGTGGTCCTCAGGGTTCCCGTGGCGACTCCCCTCTAGCTCAGGCAGGCCAGCCTCCAGGAGACCCCGCCCTCCCCCCTTCCTCCTTCCTTTCCCCCCGACACTGACCAGCGTGCCGCTGAGTCCAGGCAGCTCCGGGCACTACGGGTCTCAGGCCCTGTGATTGCTGGGTCTGCCTGATGCTACTTGGATCGCACTTCCTTGACATGAGGCCATCGAGACAGGGCCAGGGAGTCGAGTCAGCACAGGCCTTGCCATCATGGCTCACACTGCCTACACTGAGCGTCCTCTGCTCACCCCAAAAGCAGAAGGACGTGGCCCTCCTGCCTTCTTAGAGCTTATGGAGAGGCTGAGAGGAGCTGCTGGAGACACTGGGTATCCTCTTCCCAGATCCTGCCCAGCAGTCAGTGGGCAACCTCAGGGTCTCAGCAGTGTGCTCCCTTCCTCTGAGGTCCATGTGCTTCACCTGCCCTTTCATTTCTTTAGCCTTCCAAGGCTTCCAGCTTGAGGGCTGGGACAGCAGGCGCTGCTGGGGAGGAAAGGGGCAAACAGGGCCATGATTTGGGTTGTAGACACACCTTTTTGTAGGCAAGACAACAGAGAGTCCATTGAGGTCATCACAAAGCTGCACCTTCTGGCTTCACGGAACCTTCCCTCTGACCAGCATGGGGTCAGGGACTTGTGTCATTAAAGCCACTTACGAGGCAGGGCTGGGCCTGCCAGACCTCCATGGTCTGTGGGAGCTTAGACTGAAGGCTCCACGAGCATTGGGCCCTTATCTTTCATCTATTTTCTGGTTTTATAAATTCTATAAAACCATCTCCATTACTCAAATAATGCCAGGACAGTGAAGACAATTTGGAAAACTGAGCCAAGGAAAACATTTAAATGGCCCATAATCCCACCAACCCCTATTCAAGCCTTGATGAACATCCTTCCAGACTTTTTCCTAAGCAAATGCATATCTACAAACACATCATCAGTGAGCGATACCTTGACTTTCCTTCCAACAGAACATTTCCATCCGGAGTGTGGAAGCAGAGGTGTACTGCGCCAAATCCGGCAGGAAGTTTGCCGGCCAAATCCAGGAGAAGTTCATCATCTCGGACTGGAGATACGTCCTGTCTGGGTCGTACAGGTGAGCACTGGGTTGCACCTGTCGAGGTTTCATGGAGGCCAAAGCCGAGCAGCTCAGGCACACACCCTCCTCCCCAGAAGCTCCCAAGACGCTTCAACTTTGGCCCGGAGCCGCAGCTTCATCTCATACACGAGGCTGGAGGCAGGACTGGCCTGGAAACAGGGGGACATCTGAGCCCTTGCTGGGAGGACTTCAGGCTAGAGAGGCACTTCCAGGTGCCTCAGTTTCCCTTGATAATGCAATAGGACATAGAATCCTCTTTTTCTATCCTCAGCCTTCTCAGGCATGATTATAAAGCCATGCAATTTGTTTTGGGAGTGGAGGGGTGTACATGCCCCATTTTATTTTCAAGATGTTTTATTATTTTAATATAACAAATTTATTGAGCTATAATTCACCTATTTAACATATGTAGTTCAATTCTTTTTTAGTGTTACTTTCCTCATCTGTAATATGGGGATTAGGTGTCTTAACACAGATGCCCCTCTGTGGTAAACAGAACACAAAAATGCATTTATATATATGTATATATATATATATGTGTGTGTGTGTGTGTGTGTGTGTGTGTGTGTATAAATATATATATATATTTATTTATTTATGCTAAATCTGCTTATATTGTAATTGAGAACCTTGGTTCATTGAAAGTCACCTTAGAGAAAATGAAAAGTCAGATTATAAATTGGGAGCAGGTTTTCAGGATGCCCTGACAGGATTAGTATCAAGAATCACAAAGCACTCCTGTGAATCACAATAGCACAATGGAGCGTGGGTGAGGGACATGGTGTGCATTCAGCCAGGAGGGGACAAGTGTGAAAACGTATGAAGAGGTGTTCAGCAGCAGTGATCAAGAAAAGGCAAATCCAGGCTAGAATGAGTTACCATCTTATACCTTTTCAACCAGAAAAAATAAAATAAAATAAAGACTGATAATACCAAGTGTTAGATTTACAGGATCTTTTATACATTGCTGCTGGGACCGCAAATCAGTACAGTAACTTTGGAAAGATTTGACATTTTCTCCTAAAGCTGAATATTCACATAGTTTATAACCCAGTCATTGTACTCCTAGGCATATTTCCAAGGAAAACTGGTTCACAGTACAGAAGACAAATACGAGGACATTTGTAGCAGCACTCACTGGTCATGAAACAAAAATGGTGGAAGTAACCCAAATTTCTACCAATGGGAGAGTAGATGAATAAGCCATAATCTAGCCACCAGTGGAATATTATACAGCAGTCAAAAATGAATGAGGTACAGCAACAAGAAACAAGATGGATAAATACTAGCAATATAATTAATATTAAGTGAAAAAAGATCCCTAAAGATTGTCATGTTAAAAACAGCTAAAGTAAAAATATTTACTTTCCAGAATACACAAAACGTTTTTTTTTAATTATAGAAAAAAGAAAGTATGGGAATGATGACACAGGATTTGGGGTGATGATTTCCTCAAGTTTGGAGACCCAGAAAAATGGGTTGCAGGAGGGACCATATAGTTAGATGTCAGTTACTGTCAAGATGCTAGCTTTTTATTTTAGGTGGTAGGTTCTCAGTGCTTATTGAAGTATTTAAAATAATAAAGTAAATAGCTCCATACATTCAAATGGGCCACGAATGGACCAATGATAGTGGGTCTTGAGCCAAAAATTATGATTAAGTCAATTCTATGTACTTAAGGGACAAAAAAAAACCACAAAACAATAAAAATAAAATGTATTTCAAGGGCCGGCCGAGTGGCTCAGTTGGTTAAGAGTTCACTCAAGAGTGCGAGCTCTGAGCAACAGGGTCAACGGTTAGATTCCTGGCCCGAGCTGAGCTGCTGCTGAGCTGCCAACAGGTGGCAGGATGGCTCAGCTAAAAATTAATTAATTAATTAATTAATTAAGAAATAAATACATAAATAAAATAATAAAGAAATAAATGTATTTCTTATAATGAGTGATGATAAAAGGAAGTGTAAAAAGTCAAGCACAGGATGCATGGGCCTGCAGGGGTTTAGGTGGGGGAACCCTTGAGCAGTGCTTGTTAGGGGGGCACACAAATTCTGCTGGGCCTCGCTGAGGATGTGGGGGGTGCGCAAGGGCCGCGAGGCTGGGAACGCAGGGTGCATAGGGGCACACAGGGTGCGTGGGGGCCTGGAAAGTTGCCAGGGCAGCTTTGGACCTGTTTCGTTGAGCAAAGCATACAGTTGTTGGCCTGATTCAGCCTGATTCCAAACAACACAGGGCTCTTGATGTCTAAGTGTAGCCAGGAGTCCCACTGTCCCTGTGTCTGCCGCCTTCCCTGCCACCTGGCTGGCCCTAGGCTCAGCAGCAGCTACTCATGAATCTGGAGCTGCGTGGGTGGCTCCTTGGAAGGAGATGAGGTTTAAACTGAGGCTCATTGTTCTTCCCAGGATTGCTCCATCTTCGTGTGGGCCCCTCCCTGCCTCACAGAGCAGGGACCGTGCAGGCTGGGCCCTGCCTTTTGGTGGCAAGACAGGCCGGGTGGGGGATGGAAGCTGAGACCTTTGGTGGGCTGTTTCTGTTCATCCCTGGCGCTGTCTGTCCCTCAGGGTGACCTGTCCCCCTCTGACCATCCTGTCCCCTTTGCTCTCCACACCTACGTTCACATTATGAGGGAGGTGGGAATCTCAATCCTGATGCTCTTGGTGGGTCTTCTGTGCTGTCCAGGCATTTTCAAGGTTTTTTTTTTGGGGGGGGGGAAGGGGGGAGTTTTCGATCAGAAATAGAAGGGGATTTGGTTAAATCAGCAAATCATAAAAAGTAATACATAAACGCCTTGAGTATTTTGTTTTCACCTACAACCTGTAAGTGGAGGGAGGGTCAAGACCTCTGCTTGAGGGTGTTCTTTCATGGGTATCCAGACAAACCACACTTCTGCCCCATTCCTGTGGGCTCGCTCTGTATCCTTTTTCCATCCCCCAAAGGGCACAGGATTCTCCCTCCCCGGGATTTTCCCTCCCCTCAAACCCTCCAGGGTCCATGTGCCTGAAAATGGAACTATGCCCTTTAAATTTTCACGCACACACAGCCCCTGCCTTCCAGAGAGCAGCCAACTTTCTGCAGCTGCCTTCCCCAAGCCCCTATTTGGTTAGAAGAGGCAGGTGTCCCACATTTCACAGGTGGAGCCACTGAGGCCCCCGTGGCTAGGTGACTCATATGAGCACACAGTTGCGGACCCTGGGACTCAGCTGCCCTCAGCCCCTTTGTGCTTCCTCAGGGACCTGTAAGGGGCTGTCATCTGAGCACCAGGAGGGAGCCCTGACCTGAAGCCAGCGATTCACTCTGGCAACTTAATCATTCACCTGCAGACACTTGCGGGTCTCTGAGCTGCCGTTTTTGCATCTGTGAAAGCGGCATGCCCGTGTCTCCCTCCCTCCAAGGGTTCTGCCAGCACAGAGGGGCAGTGGGCATGTTTATCCCCTTCCTACCAGCCTTGCCATTTGCCACACTTCCCTCCAAGGAAGGTCGCAGAGGCCTGGAGCCATGGCCCGCAGTGCCCACCCCTCACTCTCTCTCCTCCCCCCCGCAGCTTCACCTGGCTCTGCGGACACGTCCATCGGAACATCCTTTCCAAGTTCACGGGCCAGGCTGTGGAGCTGTTTGACGAGGAGTTCCGCCACCTGTATGCCTCCTCCAAGCCCGTGATGGGCCTGAAGTCCCCCAGGCTGGTCACACCCCTTCAGCCCAGAGCAGGCCGCAGCACCCCGCCGGGCCGTCTCAGTGGCAGCAGCTGCTCCCACAGTGACCATACGTCTTCCAACCCCTTCAGCAGCCCATCCACGGGAAGCGACCCCCAGAACCAGAGTCCGTCCAAGTCCTCAGGGCCCAGCAGTCCCCTGGCCCCAAACCCACCTCCGCCCTCCAGGTTTCAGCCCTACTATGGCCTTTGGGGGGCCCTGACCCCACAGGCCCACTTCTCCCCGAGGCCGCACGATGGCCTGTCCACTCTCTACAGCAACTTCAACGCCAGCAGGCCCGTAAGGCTGCAACTCGAGCAGCTTGGCCTGGTGCCCAGGGCAGCCCACATCTGGAGGCCCTTTCTACAGGTGTCCCCTCATTTCTGAAGGGTCCCTTCCTCCAGCCGCCCTCTCAGGGCCAGCGCTGCACATTCCTATGTTTTCTGACCCAAGGCACCCACCTCAATGACTAGCAGCTTAGGTTCGTGTTCCTTTTGAACTAAAGGCACTTGGACAACATCATTGGCTATATTTGAATGTTCCTGGGCCTGAGACCCCCCTCCTGGGTTCCCCTCTCTAGTTTGGCCTATGCAACACATTCCAGAAGGTTCCAGGGAGGAAGGGGTGGGGGTGGGGAGCTAGAAGACAAAATTGTGAAAATAGAGCCCCTTTCTTCCAAAGAGCAGCCAACACTTAAACAGTCCTCGAATCTCTATAATGTAAGAAGGGGCAGATACAGCCCATGTTTTACATATGGGTAAACTGAGGCACTGAGAGGCAGAGGGTTGGTGTAACCAAGGTACTCCTGTTTCCCAGTGCCGAGGAGCAGTCCATTCCCCACACATTCAGGGGGCGGTGTGGGAACAGTCTGGATGTTTCTAGGGGAGGTGGGATAACTCCTCCTCCCTGAAGGGTATAATACTGGGTATCCCTGGGCCCAATGAGTTAGGGAGTTGGCCCCAGAACCTGCCTCTGTAAATTGTGTGGGGCCAGTTGAAATTGTTGCCACCAGAGATGGGGCAAGGCAAGACATCTAGGGGATGGTTGGACACGGCAGCGCAGCAGCTCAGGCGCTTGCTGCCGAGAGCCTTGGGCTGGCCTGGAGGTCCCTGAGTCTGGGCAGGTCCCAGGGGCTTGAATTGTTGGGACCTGGAAGTCTTGAGCAACGAGTGGGGGTTCAGCGTTGACCTTGCAGCCCCCAGGGGCAGCCAGCTGTCTGCAGACCCAGGTGCCTGTCTGGCTTGTTGACATCCTGAGGCAGGAAAGCTGAACCCTCACAAGCCCCATCATTCATTCATTCTCAGATCGCAGTGTGCTCTGTATTCCTAGAATGGAACTGGACCCCGAGGGCACAGGGTACTTTGGGAGAACAGAGGAGGGAGGTCGGGACACTTTCCAGAGAAGTAACAGTTAACCTGAGACCTAAGAACAAGGGTGTGACAGCTGGGAAGAGAGCTGTGATCCAGGCTGCCCAGGCCTGAGAGAAACAGGTGAAAAGCCCACACCCCTTCCTGTTTCCATGCCCTCCCCGTGCCACCAGCTCATCTCAGCAAATGTCTTCCTGTTGCCCATTTCCATCTCAGAAGCTTTGCCTTAGCTGTGGGGGGCTGAGTGGCCTCTGAACCTGACAGCATGCAGCACCCCAAGTCCTGCTCTGCAGAGGGTATCTCCTCTCAGCCCATCCCTGTTGGTATCTGTCCTGGACTCCTGGCAAAGACAGAGGCGTCTTTGCTTCTGTTTTCTTTTAAATTGCATCCCTGTCCTCGCTTCGCTTTTCCCCTCCTTAGTTCCTGAAAATCCAACAACGAAAAACCCTTTGGTTCCTGAAGGTTTTTTTAAACCCCAGTCCTGATGCTGCTGTTTTCCTGCGGACTTCTGGGATGAGGTTAGAGTGACCCAGGCTGCAGGGCATTCTAAATCGGATGTCACAGGCTGCCAAGAAGGCTTCGGAAAGGGAAAGCTTGCTGGGGTGCCAAGAGCGCCAAAAGCCTGCTCTGCCTCTGCCTGCATCCAGCTCGGTCCGGGTGGACAGGGGAGACCTGGCAGCTGGAACAAACCCTCCGGCTCCCAGTTCCCCTCTACGGTCGGTCGTCTTAGGGGTTCACAAATACTGCTTCTCCTCTTCTGGGCACCTTGTCACGTGTGATCCCAGCCTGCTGGGAAGGTAGTGTGGTTTGCTGTGGCCCATGGAAGGTGAGAGGAAGTGCTGAGGACCCCTTCCAGGCAGGAGCTTTAAGAGCCGGGTAGGTGCAGTTGGCCTCCTGGGAGCACATCTCAAGGTGGAGTCTGGGTTCCTAAGAGACTCTGGTGAGCGGGACCACCTACTCCCACGCCACCGACCTGCAGAGGACAAGTAGCATGAGCAAGAAATAAACCTTTGGGGCAGCTCGTTAGCTCAGTTGGTTAGAGCATAGTGCTCATAACACCAAGGTTGCCGGTTCGATCCCCATGATCCCCATGCCCTCCACAACTAGATTGAATAACTATTTGACTTGGAGCTGATGGGTCCTGTTCCCCAATAAAAAAATAAAATAAAAAAATAAACCTTTGTTGTTTAAGCCACTGAGATTGGGGCTGTTTCTTATCGCACCACGATCCAGCCTCACCTGACTAATACAACCCACTGACGCAAGGCTGGGCCATTCCCTTGTGGGACTGGATTCCCAAGGGCCCCCAGCCTTGGGCGCTTGTCCCAAGACACTATTTCCACCAGGAGGGTTTTACACACCTGGCAAGGGGGTGGCTGAATGCCAAAGCACATCCTTATCCAATTTTGCAATCCTCCCAAACTCACCTTTAGTTTAGCTTGGGCAGGCCGGCTCCCTGGAGGCCATCCTGAAACATATAGAGTCTCTACTACCGCAGCAATGAGGCACCCACCATGTGCCAGGCAGAGACCCAGACTCACATCTTTCCTGGAGGACTCCAAAGCCAGCTGAAGGCGACACCCACAAGAACAACTGCCATGAAGAACAGAATGAAAGAAATCATGTGATAGTCGTGTGTAGGGGGTACCATGAAAGGGGGGTTTCTCTTAGGGCCAAACACACACCCCACACCAGGGATCAGAGATCACGTTACCCACCTGCAGGATTATCAGCTGGGGCCAACTGGAAGTATTGATTGCTAATAATCAACCCTGCCCCCCAGTGTCTCCCCTAGAAATTATCTGTAGCATTGATTCATTTGGTCTTCACTGGTAGCGATCTTTATCTCCCTATCTGTACTGGAAGAGCCCAAAGGCCAAGGGGACCCTAACTACTGTGTCTTGGATGTCCCCATGCACAAGAAATGTTGAGTGGTTGAGACGCTTTGTTCCCACAGCAGGGACAAACAGTCAACCCCCCTCCCACTCCCGGTGACCCCTACTGTCCCTCTGTCCCGCCCTCACCTCCCTGGGCTCCCCACCTCCACCCTGCTTGCTCTGCTGGCTGTCACAGGAGTGGCAGAGCCGCATCTTTAAATGCTTCACTGTCTGGACTTGGTCCAAGAAGCTGTTGGACACAGAGAAACCGTCACTCACTTTCTCAGCTTCCTCCCGAAGAGTGTGTCAGAAAAACTGTTATCAGAGAATGTAAATATTGCAGACGCACATGAACAAGCATGAACACAGCCTCCTTTTTCTTGTGGTTCTCTGTATTTTGACTGAGACAGACCTGTCGCTTACCAAGGTCCTGCTCCATGCGCCTTTCCTCTGTAGGGTGTGGGAAGCGGGGGTGTCCGCATGATGATACGCCACACTGAGCGGACAGAGGCCCAAAGGAGGTGGCCACAGCACGCAAGGGGGACGGCGTGTGCACAGGGCCAAGTGCAAGGGGCGGCTGGAGCCCAGCTTGTAGCTGAGCTTGCCAAGGCTGCCTTCCCCCCACTGCCCACTCACCACGTCAGGCAAATTCACGTAAAGACACCTTCCAGGCTGGTGGGCCCAGCGTTGAGAGCAGAGGTTTCTAGACCTTCCCACCGAAATGGTTGCTAGTGAAGAACCCCCCCCCCCAAGCTCTCTGCCCTGCTGCAGGACAACGGACCACCGAGTCATCTCAGCTAGGCCTCCGGAGATGGCATTTCTCGACTGAGATGTGTTTCTGCCAGCAGCCAGTGGCTTGCATCTGGGGCTGCTCTTTGAGAATGGCAGCCCTCGAGTGGAAGGGCCCCAGGGCTGCTTCCTGACCTGCCTTCCAAACATCCACATGTGCTCGCCTCACAGGCCTGGGCAGTGCAGCCTGCTGCTGAGAGGCAGACCCCCCGTGCTGTCCTGGGAGCCCACCCTGCGAGCACAGCATGAAGACGCATCCAGTCCATCATTTCCCAGCTGAATTATTCTATCCCAAGTCCTGGGAGGCCCGCCTTGGCTTCCACTCCAAGGGCCTGAATTCATGTATTTGATCACCGATTTGCCCCCCTCCCCATGTGCCAGGGGCCGGACTGCCAGTGTTGGTGAGAGCCCCCAGCTCTCATCTTATATGACAACACCACTGAGGCCCCTTTGTTTTAGAAACCTTGGTTGATTTCAATAACTGACCATTTGGGCTACTTGCTTTTTCTTTTTTTTCTCTTCCCATGTATTAAATTCCAGCTCTTGTGTTTTCATTTCACCAATAAAGAGTGAGCCGGCCAAACCCTAGGCCTCCACCCTCGACCCCAACAAAAACAGAACCCCAGATCTGTGTGTTCTCTGTACCTGTGTGGCCTCAGGTGTGCTGTGTAACTTCCAGGTCTTGTAAGTAATAAACCTGTATCTTTTCAAAGTTTTGTGGATGGAAAACGGGTGCTATAATAAATCATACGTTCCTAACTGGGCAGATCAAGGTGGGTAGTCACGTCCCAGGCCTATAACTTCTTTAGTGAAGGGTCTTTAAGTCAGCCCTGGTCATCTCGCTTGTGCATCTGGGTTAACACACCTTTGAGATACCAGAAGTAAGACCCCCGAAGGTAACCACCTTTAAGAAAGCACATATTCTTGCAGTTCAATCCCTGCCTTGCTTTCTCCCACCCTCACGGAATCTTCCTTCAATTCCGTCCTTAATTCCAAATGCATAAAAGAAGCTGCAGACTACCATTCTGCAGAGCATTTGAGATCTTGCTTCGGGGCAATTGTCGTCAGTTCTGGCTCAAAAAACTCTCCACAGGTTTGGACGTTTCTTCCAACGGCAGTTTCCTGATGGTAACTACTGAAAAGTCATCCTGCGAACAGACTAAGAACCACAAGGGCGGGTCCAGCCACAACACTGGTTATTGATAGGCTGAGTACAAAACATCCCTTTGCCATGTAACCTCACATATTCAGAGGCCCTGGGGATTAGGACATGGACCTCTGTGTAGGGCCATTGTTTGCCGACACATTGCAGGCATCTTATGGAGGCCGCAGGCAAGAATGAGGCTGGGCCTAGAGAACAGGAAGGAACTGCGATCTGGAAGCAGCAAAGCACAGACCTGTCCCTCTCCCCTTTCTGGGCGTCTCTTTCATTTTCTCTCTTTCTCTGAAGACCTACCTGTTCTGTCTGCTCCTCAGCGTCCACCTGGCAACACACAGCCACGCCTGGGTTTTGACCAATCTCCAGGGGAGATTCTGATTGGTCCAGCTTAGGTTAGGTAAACCCCCTTTCCTCTCGCCAATCAGTCAGGGTCCCTGAGGACGCCCATGGCTGCCAAATACCACCTGTGTGGATGACAGAGCAGTTCCCAGCGATGGGGGCTAGGGGGTCGTTAGCTCAAGGGCTGAGCAGACACAACACTGACGCTTTAGGTGAAGAAGCCACTCTGTGTGGAGGAGGGAGAAAAGGATAAACGAGGAGGCAAACGCCTGTCCTCCATTTCTCCTGACTGCTGTAGCGAAGTCTCCTGGTAGACACACTTCTATTAGGAAGACAGGGTAGGAGGAGCCAAGCCAGGGCCGCCCCTCATAGGGACCATGGGGCATTCACTTCAGCTTCTGGCTGTGCAGCAGAGCTCAGCTGGGCCCACAGCACTTCCCCCAGGCCTGGTTAGTAAGGGGACAGGGCCAGGTATGGGGAATGTGCGCGGTCACACCTTGGGGATCAGAGATTTGCACACTTGTGTATCATCCTCTCTGCTTTTTGTTTGCTTGCTGGTTTTTATGATTAAGACCTTGGAATGTAGTGTGTCAATTCCCTTTACAGATGAAATTTCAAAAGCACAAGAAAGCTGCTATTTAGAACAATCTATTTTTTTTTTTTTTTTTTTTTGCAAACGGTGGCCTTGGACTTGTTTCATAGAGATTCTTACCCAAGGTTTTTTCTAAAATGAAGCACACCTTTGTGGAGTTGTGGTATCACTCAGGCAGGCAGGGGCACCTTTAGTGCTGGCAGTGGGGCTCTGTAGGGACGAGCCCACGAGCTGCGAGCTCACCAGGCTTCAGGTGACCTCTGCAATGACCTGTGGCTCCAGCAAGGCAGGAATCATGGCATGTCCAGGAAGGAGAGCTCTGCCATAAAGGGGCAAACCAGAGACACAGTCCTAGTGCCTGTGATCTAGCAAGGAGGGCTCCTACAGTGAATACCCAATTGTGATTCCAGTAAGCGTTCTGGGGGAAAAAGAAAGCACAGGCAAAGGCACAGTGACAAGACTCAGCGCCTGGGATCATGATCATCTTGTCTGATTGTGACCGTTGAGCTAAGATCCTTAGGAAGGGGAAGTTTATGGCAGGGCTGGAAATTTGTAGGGAAGGGTGTTCCAAGTGAGGTAACTGGACGGGCAAAGGGCTCGGGTGGCAGACAGCTTAAAGAATCCAAGGACGTGAGAGGAGCCCAGAGGAGCTGGGGTGGCGTGAGCCAGGGCTGGACTGCGCAGGTCTCACGAAGGATTTGGGAAATCACTGAAGGACTCTGAGAACGATCTTTGATTTTTGTAAGATCCCTTTGGCTACAGTATGAAGATTGCCGGGGTATAAGAGTATCAAGGACAGGAGACTCACAAGCTCAAATACCAGGGATAGACCCTCCCGCTACCACTGAGAGAGTGTTGAAGACAGGCCTTTTGGGGCACAAGAGGCAAGACTTGCCCTTGGGTCCCGGTCCACCCACCTGAAGTGCAGACAGTCCCTCTGTTGTTCACATTTGCTCACCTGAGTGATTCATGCATTGACAAGAGGGTGGGGCGGCTAAGAAGGCCGGCCTGAGGTTTTTCCTTAACGATCATTGCTCAGTTAATTACCTGCCCTATCTCTGCTGGAGTGATCAAGACTTTGTGTGATGAAACCCAGATCCCCGTCTTCCTGGATGCCCCTTTTCCCCATTACAGCCGAGGCACAGCAGTGCAGGGGGCTTGGTTCTCACCTGCAGGGACATGCCGCTCGCCGTCAGGACAGTGAGGTGGGGTGGGAGCGAGGGTATAAGCAGCTTCACTCAGCGAGTTCAGACAGTGGGTCTGAGAGGAGGGGCAGAGGGCTGAAAGCTAGAAGCCTGGGCAAAGTTAGATGCGGACGAGGATGGAGAGGGGAAGCCAAGTGACGCTAGAGGAGAAAAGGGCATTTCTAGACCTAGACAAACAGGAGGAAAGGGATTTAGTGACAGAAAAAGAAATAGGCAGGGTGCTGATATTGCCTCAGTGCTTCAGATCGTCAGGTATTAGCCTCACGTGCAAACAATGATACTGGCCAATTAACTCAGCAATTCTTTTCAACAAATGTTTAACCAGATGCCAGGTATCCTGCCCTACAGATACAAACCAACAGGAACAGGACAGCTGGTCCCAATTTTACAAAGCTTAGCCTGTCATGGAAAACAAACAGGCGATTACAATACAGAGTACTCAAGACCAACACGGGAGTGAAACAGGGAAGGCGCACAGGAAGGAAACCGACGACGACGTGGGAATCAAGACTTCTGGGAAGCTAGGCCTGAAAGCTGAGCATGGGTGAGCCATGTGATGGGGTCAGGGAGAGGGTCCAGACCGAGTCGCCTGTGTGAAAGCCTAAAGGTGAAATTTAAAGGTACGGGGCAGGGGGAAAAGAAGCCCTAGGGAGACAAAGGCTCTATGGTGAAGCCATGTTCCAGTTGGGGCTCTACGCTGAGGGCCATCAACACCTAGACCATAGCCTCCAAGATCACCTGTCTCCATGGCAACCATACAATGCTTGTCACATAACAGGAGCTGATTGTTAACGACTCAATGAATGGATGGGGGGCAATGGGGACCTGCTGAGGGGTTTCCCTACCTTTTAATGATTCCTAGAAATTGACAAGTCTATTAATCATAGACTTGTCTCCCATTAGAGATAAATGACTAAACTCACTCTTGCTAGTCACGCTATCACTCACTCATACTAACACAGTAGTCAAAATACAAACAAAACCAGGCCTTTGTCTGCTTTGGGAAGGGGTCTGGGAAAGGGTGAGTGAGCAGGTGAGGTGGACGGGAAATCCTGGTGATGTCACCTTTTGGCCCCGGGCTGGAATTCTCTTCCGTCTGCTCAGAAAAACAAAATGAAAAGCTGTGTGGAACACCATTTGATGAAGTTTCCGGTTTACTATTAAATTCCACTTCTCCTCAGGGAGCTCTTCCATCCCAGATAATTCGAGTAAGGACACGGCCCTTTGTATGTGAAGATGATGTTATGAGATTGTGATTATAATTGGTGTGGCTGAAGACAGGACACTCACCCTGTAAGACAGTGCTCTGTGGGTCTTGTGTTTCTGTACACCTTGTGAGCAAGGTACTAACTGCCCTTCGTTTCACACTATCTTTTCAATGATATCTGCATAGCACACAGCCTTATAAAAAGAGGCAGTGTCCTCTGGAGGTCAAGCACGTTTACTGCCCACTATGGAAGATCTGAGTTCCTAAGCCCAGGGCCCCCCTCCTGTCATGCACCCCACTGTGTGTGCACTCATTCGTTTGGGCCCACATGCATCACTCCCTTGGGACTTGGAAGCACAAGGAACTGATGCAAATATGCTGAAGCTTATACTGCTTGCTGGGCCATGAATACTAAAGTGTCCTGCAGCATCCATGAAACTGGCAGGCTAACGTGCTTGCCGACAGGTATGGTAAAATCTCAGGGCCTTCACAGACCTTGGCACACCCCTTAGAAATGGTTTACCATTACATTTCAATGTTCTTGGCCATTTCTGATGAATTTACCTAAACAATGTGGATATTTATGCTGTTGGTTATAATACAGTAACTGTTTTGAAAAGATTATAAAATCTAAAAAGCTCTTTTATACACTTTCCCAACAGCTATTTCCTAAAAGGGGTAGGAGGCCTAAGATGAGTGAACAGCAAAAATCTAAAAAGACAACAAAAAAATCAAGACAGTGAACACCGTAGAAATAACCTGGGAGATAAGCCATTTTTATAAAACACAAATAATCATTTTTAATTCTCCATATTACACGATTAGTAGTGGATTCTCTCTAAAGTAAAACAAGGACAATCAATACAGGGCAAGACGTTTTGTTTGTTTTTAAAGGGACTGCTAAGCCAAGATTTGTATCTCTGTACGCAACTGATTTTCAAAGGCGCAGAAGTGGTCTTTGATCTTTCTGAACCACCTGTCTTCAAATTCTTTCGAAGATGCAATCACCAAGGGGGTCGGGGCCGCAGAGCCGACACACTTCACCTCGGCGTGAACCTCGTCTTTTATTTTTTCTGGGGCAATATCTTCTCCCATAACCTGCAGAAGGAGGGAAAAAAAAAACCTGACCCAATAAAAGGGGCAGCAGATACAGAACGGAAGACTATGCCATTCATCACGTATACAGGATTTTATCCATAAGCAGAAATACATTAGCAGCCAGGGGACAAGTCTGACAGTTCCTACATACTAAAAGATGTTTGCTGAGCAGTAGCCACCCAAGGACCACATGGGAAAATATCCTGTGTTCTAGTCTCATCCCTTCCCTAAGTAAAGAGATCACTGAAGTGCTAATGTGGCAGCAGTTCTATTCAGCCTACAGGGAATGCCAGATCAACCTTCTCCTATCAAAGAGCATCTTCTGTTGGAAAGAACCACTGTGAGTGGTTCTCCCAGCTTGTAAAACGACTGAAAAGCAGAGCTTGGGCAGGATATAACGGCTCTGGGGGTGGGGGTGGGGCTGGGGAGGTGTGCAGAGATTCTTTCTCTTAGAAGTTCTCCAAAGAAGTCAAAGGCAGCAAACCGTGGTGTGGCAAGTAGCTGTGCCCACCCTTTCCTGACCCAGGGAGGCTCAATCCCTTTAGAAATGTTACCACGGCAACCACAGGGATGTCAGGAGCACAGGCTTGGCCTCTGATAGAACAATACTGCCCCCTACTGGTAAAAATCAGGCCCGGATTCTGCGGTTAGTTGCTCTTTGATAAAACACCCACAAAGTTAAGTTGTAGAAAAAGCTGGCACCTGAACCCACTGGGTAATTAGTCCATCTTTGGTAAGAACAGTGACTCAAATTAAGTCCCAAGACACTTCATATACCGTTTGACAGGGATGGTGTAGAAGGAATTCAAGTCACTTGGATGTGGACTAGATGATCTGTTTCCTGCAAACTCTGAGAGCCAATGTGTTCGTGAAAACTCAAATTATAATGGATTAGAAGAAGCACTCAAAGAACAGTTTCCATTGGCTTTAAATCTCCGAAGACTATATACTGTTTGAGGCAAGAGCCAATGAGATAAGTAGCTTAACCTGGCAACTGTCGGCATTTATTAAAGCACAGCATTTTTTATCAATTCTAATTTTTGTTTTCATATTTTAACATTTCTGAAGTCAAGATGTATCTTATAACCACAGGCTGTCATAATGTAAATGGTATCTTATTTTTCTTTTAGTGGCACATCAATAATGATGTGTCTACAATTGATGATGTCTTGGACTCCATGAAAGGTAGTATATTAAAATCTGGGATTCAACACCAAAGGTCTTTTATTTTTTTAAATATATAAAAGAGAACTGAAAAACAGTAATACTCAAACAATGTACTATTCCAAAACGAGGGATCGGCAGGTACACCATTCACAGGTGTCAAAAAATCTGCAAAAACATTTGGCCATATAAAAATGTAAAATTTCTATACACCAAAAAAGATCATAAACTTCAGAAAATATTGTACCACATAAAAGGTTAGTAAGCCTGGGATAGAGAGAGCGCTCTTAAAAGTTAATAAGAAAACCAGAAACATGCAAACAGAATAATGAAGAAAAAGCACAACTAGATATTTCACAAAACATAAATGGCCAATAAATATATGAAAAAATTGTTCTTCTTAATAGCAATCAAATAAACATTGATACTAAAAATAGCTATTTTTACCAATCAAATTGCAGATTTCAAAAAGTAACATTTAGTTGATCAAAATAAAATTGTTTTTATAGGTCAAAGTGATTGAATATTGACAATTTCATATGGTTCAACCTAATACCTAGGATTAGAGAAGGAAAATCAGAATTCTCAGACACTGCCAGAAAATATGTAAATTAACCAACCTTTCTGAATGACAATTTGGAAATCTGTTTCAAGTCTTTAAAATGTTAATATACTTTAACCCAGTGATTCTATTTCTAGTAACTAGTTTAAAAGGGAGAAATACATACATTTACTTTTTTGCAAAGACTTATTAAAATAGGTACTATATTTGTTAAATGTTCAATATAGAGGACTTAAGTAAATAAATGAAGCTCACCGAAAGCTATAACTGGACTACTATCCAGCCATTAAAAATTATGTACTCAAAGTAATATTTAAAAATATAGGGTCACAATCATGACAGTGTTAGGTTAAAAAAAACAAAAAACAAAAAACAAAGTATGAAATGAAATGTACAGTTTGATAGTTCCTCAAAAAGTTAAACACAGAATTACCATGTGATCCAGCAATTCCATTCCTAGGAATACATCCAAAAGAGCAGATACTTGTATGCCAACGTTCACAGCAGCATTATTCACAATAGCCAAAAGGTGGGAACAATGCAAGTGTCCATCAACAGATGAACGGATAAGCACACAGATGAATGGTGTGTGTATAGTACATAGATAAATGCAATGGAATATTATGCAGCCATAAAAAGGAATGAAGTTCTGACATGCTACAAAATGGATGAACCTTAAAAGCATAACGCTAAGTGAACTAGAAGGACAAACGTTATCATGATTCCACTGAGATACGGAGACAGGCAAATTCACAGACGCAGAGAGCAGATTAGAGGTTACCTGGGGTTGCGGGGAGGAGGGGAGTATTGTTTAACGGTTAGAGTTTCTGTTTGGTGTAATGAAAAAATTTCGGAAATAGTGGTGATGGCTGCACAACTTTGTGAGTGCAATTAATGCCATTGAATTGCACACTGAACAATGATTAAGATGGTACATTTTATGTTATATTTTTTATCACAAAGAAAGAGGGGAAAGGGAAACTGTGATAGAATAAAAGAGATGCAAGCGACAGAAGAGCCCAATACAGTATAGGGACCTTATATGGCTCCATATTCAAATAAAACAACTATAAGGAAACAAAGGGAAAAAAGTAGGCAATTGAAGAATATTTAAGGATAAGGGTCATGCTCATGTCACAATGTCAAAATTAACAGCACAAAATGAAATGTACATTATAATCCCGATGAGGGCCCTGACATTTGTCTCTTTTAAAAGCTCCACGGGTATTTCACATGCGTTGTCCAGATCAGTCCACAGATGTGCTGAGCACGGTGAAGGGCGTGAGGATGTTTTAAGACATCTTATAAGGATGTCTTCCTTGTAAGGAACCTAAGAGCTAGTAGAAGAGATGACATATTTTTGTACTTTCTTTCAGGGCCCAAAGGCCTATCTATTTAAGCAATCCCTCTGAGCTCAGATGAAGACCAGGACATTCAGGAAAAGCTTCCTAGAGGATGTGGAACTTCAGCTGGGTCTCTGAGGATAGGAATATAAGTAGGTGGAGATGGGAAAACCCACGGCAAATTTGTTACACATGGGCCGTTAGTCTAGTGGAAGCAAAAGATGTGTGTAAGGAGCTACGAAGTCATGAATTTGGGGTTACCCTCTGGGAGGCCTCACTATCAAGGCCTTTCACCTAGACCTGACCTCTGAGGGAATGATGACACACTGCAGTTTTTAAGCAAGCAGGTAACATGATCGAAGCAAGGTCTGAACCCAGCAGCAACTTTCATGACAGATCTGAGGGGAGAAAGCAAGGACAGACAAGCTGGGAGGTCACGGTGAGACTCAAACGTGAGGTGGTAAGGACCATGGCGCCAGCGGTGGAAGAGAAATGAAAGGCGGCCCCTGAAGGGAGGGCGGGCTTGGTGTTTGGCTGGAGGTGAGACTACAGAAAAAGAGGCCCACACATATCGGTAGAAGAATGATGGACAGGATCAATGAAAAAAATAAATCTAGAACAAAGAGATGGTTCTCCCCAACTCCTCTCTGCTTCCTCTCAACCAATAGTGACTGATGGCCACGTCTGTGGAAGGCTGGGCACCATGCTGGGCACGGACGGAAGAATGGCTGAAAAGGGTTTTGATGAATGGGTCCATTCTAGACATTCTGTATTTGAAGTGACAGTGGAATAATCAATAATCATCTCATGTTAATCACCTCGTAGGTAATTAACCTGAGACGTGCAACAAATACTCCAGAGATCGGACTAGGTACAGATTGGAGGGTGAGCAGCCCAGTGGTGACAGCTGAAACTCTACGCGTGGTTATGATTTCTGGAGGGGAAAGGCACAGGGAACAGAGAACCTAAGTGAAACGTCAGAGAACGTCATTACTTAAGACACAGAGGAAACCAGTGGCGTCTCAGGAGGAATGCTAAGAAACAGAGGAGAAAACCAGGCCAGCGTAACCTCTTAGACGTAAAGACAAGAGGATACAGAAGCAAGTGGTCGATGGCGACAATGCTATAGAGAGATGAAGGAAAACAAGAGCTGAGGAAAGGCTCCGGTGAAGTTCGGAGGTGCGGGGCACCTGCGCATGCATGTCTGTGGGCTCAAGGGAAAGAACCCACAGAAGGGGGAAGGCTGAAAAAGGCTCCCAGAGAACAGACAGGCGAGCCTGATGCCCGAATAGGGAAACGGAGTCCGAATGGGAGCTTAGCTTGGGGAAGGAAGCAAGGGGCCCGGCAATCACCGATGTGCAGTCGGTATTTCTTAGTGACGTCAGGATGGACATGGGTAGAGGTGTTCTCACGGGGCAAGTCCCTGAGCTGTCAAGTTTCAATTATATTCTAGAAGGAACTGGAGTGAAAAACTAGAGGGCCATCTTAAGAAACGTCAACAGCACGGTTTTTAAAAAGCTAATGACGGTTTTCAAAAAATGGAATGTGAATGTCTCTGCAACCATCAAAGTGGCGACAGGGTGGAGCAGACAGAAAACAGACGTGCAGCTGGCCGGGTTCCAGGGCAGCTCTGCCACTTAAGATCTGACCTCAGGCAAGTCACAGCCTCTCTCAGCCTCATTCCCTGTGCTACCCGTTACGAGAATGAATGGAAGGGAAAACATACAAGAGGGCTGCACAAATGTCAGCATGCTTTCACTCGTTTATTCAGCACTGACAAAACAATTACTGGGCATTTCTGATGTTCAAGCAGGCAGGTGCGCACATGCCCTGACAGGTAAATGAAACACAGCCCCTGCCTTCTGGCTTGCAGCAGGAGAAAGGTGAAGAGGCCGCTTTGAGGGATGAAGTGATCAAAAGGCACGTAAAGGAGGGAGACAGAAGCCCTTTCGCGGATGAGATTTCACCACTTTTTAAAAAATGGTGCGGGAGCCAGGAAAAACATGTGGACAGCGCCTCATTTCACATAAATCCTAGGGGACATACTCACCTCGGCTATCAACAGCAAAGTGTCTTCTTTGAAGCTGAACGCTTTCATTTTATCTTCAATTTCCTGCTGAGTCCTCAAGTTCCTCTCCAAAGCAAACGATGTTTGCTGAGACTGGGTGAGCTGAAGCAACAGCCTGAAAAACAGCGAAAGTCCCAATGTGCAGGGTCCGCAAAAAGGAAAAGCAGTGAGGAAACGCACAGAGATCGCCAGGCATCCAGCTCCGCAGAAGGCTCTCAGGCGCCTCTGAACCCCTAAAGCTCCTTACTCTGAACAAATGGCCCATACCCACACTTGGCTGGCCACCAAGTCCTGTCTATTCCATCGTGCAGTGCCATCCATGTCCTTTTGGATTACCACTGCACTATCCTAGGTCAGGTCCTTGTCACCATCCGCCGACGATCCCACAGCCCCTTCACTGGTGTCCCTAGCTCCAAACGCCTACTTCCAATACTCCTTCTCAGCCACCAGGTCTCCCCCTTGAGATCACAGCTCCTGTCACACCACTTCAGCATTTAAAGCCTTCAAATACTCTCCCGGCCTTCAACATGACATTTAAAGCCCTGTGCTAATAAAAACAACAACAGAAGTACGACATTTACCAAATGCTCACCACACACTGCGCGCTACAGTAAGTGCTTCAGGTACTGTCATTCCCACACCCCCACGAAGGAGGCATTTCCCCCATTTCCTCTTTGTCCAGATGAGGGAACTGGAGGTCAGAGAGTTTAGGTCATTTGTGCAAGGTCAGTCAGCTAGCACGTGGAGCAGTCCAGACTCATTATTCAATGACAACAATGTATTAGGTTTCTTAAAATCAGATCTGACCCCAAAGTCCTGCCTCCTACGTGACCATGCCACCTTGGCCTTGTGGTCTACAGCCTACACCTCTCGAGCTCCTACCACCAGCGCTGCTCTCACCACCACACTATACGACAACGCGGCTACACTGCCTCTCACTCCTTGGGCTGTGCGTTCTTTATCTAGCATGGCTCTCCTCATCTGGGAAATATTCCATGGTGTCAGCAAGGTGTCCTGGAAAGAGCCCAGGCTCTGGAGTCACAGACCTGGGTGGCCACTCTGGGCATGAGTCTAAATTAGTTTTCTAGTCCCTACAGTGGGACCCCAGCATCTAGCCCAGGGAGTGAGGATTAAGATGAAATCATGCATACAAAGCATCTAGTCCACATGTATCTATACAACTGACAGAGGCATCGTTCCTTCTGTAAAGGCTTCCTTCTTCCTGCTACACTGACCAGCCCCCGCGTGCTGAGCGCCCGTGCTGCCAATCACTGACTCCATGTAGATTCTCCTCAATACAATGAGCTGTGTAAGGAAAGGCACGCTTTTTTAACGATCTTTATGACCCAGCACCCAGCACAGTTGTCACTCAATGTACTTCTGAATTAAAGTGACACAGTCAACACTGAATAAACATCTGAAGAGTTTAAAATCTATCAAATGGGTATCACTCATTCTCAGTAAGCCTCAGCCAGCGCATTACTCAATATTTCTTGAATTCTCCAGAATTAAAAAAGAAAAACAACAACTCGGTGTTTTTGGTGTCATTTGAGGCCCGAGAGAGTCTGTTTCTCTCATAAATTACAGAATTGGTCAAGCGTATTCCCCCTTTCCCTTATACGCTCTAGATTCAAAGGATTTGGAGTCCCTGGACCATGGGGCTTCTCTGTCGAATAAACACTGTTTATTCACATTAATAATAGTGATTCAAATACAAAAGCAGGTTTTCTTCTTCAGGTTTCTGGGGAACATGTGAGTGAAAAATTCCTTGTTGAAAACATCTCTTCCCTCTTTGCTAATGTTTCATACATTTAATTTTCTTTTCCTATTTTTAATGGTTTCCAGTTTTAATTCTTTATCTTGAGTAATGATACAGGTTGTATTGTTGAGCAAATATAGTTTTGTTTCTAAATCTTACCTATTAAAAGGACACGTTCAAAAAATAAATAAAAAAATAAAAGGACACGTTCAAAGGATTCCATCTAGGCCATAGGAAAAATCTCAAAAACATGTACCAGCATCTAGCCTAGAACTTGTCGAAATTACAAATTAGAAAAATAAAACCTTTACTCTGAGCTTAGTACCATGTACTGTTTAATCCACTGTCCGTTTACCTGGTTCGTATGAAAGAGGCACATGCTTTCATCTGAATCTCTGGCAACACTGCTTCTCTCTTTCTGGCCACAGAGTTTTGAATATTATTAGGATCTTTCTCATTCTTCTGGTTATTACCGCTGTTTGCTTCCATAGAAAACACAGAGCTCTCGGGCAATGTTTCAGGGAAACACAAAAGACAGTCTTTTCCTGAATGTGGAAAGGAGGATTTGATACTTTTGTCACTTGAGGTGAAACTGTTCTGATTGTGAGATGACGCAATCGGTGCTGGGAGAGCTGGCCCCAGATTCATGTAAGCCTCTGCCAATCGGCCCCAGTTCCAAGGGTTGAAAGGATGCAAAGAAATCAGTTTCTGTAGGCAGAAAATGGTTTTCTCCACGTTCTGCAAACTTGAACAGATAGCAAGCTCGAGGCAGAGCACAGTGGTTAAATGGTCTGTGTTGGTTGCTTTATTTTCCTAGGGAGAAAAAAAAGGTCCAAAACTTTAAACATGTAAACATGGAGATTCCTAAAAACCCAAGGTGTATATGTTGAAAATCCAAAGTATCTTTCATCAGCTACACAGGCAGGGTGAATGAAATATTTTTCAACAGATCTCAGTTTGCAACCATAAACCTAGAGAAAGAAATGCCACCTAGCAAAATAAGCACCCGTCATCCCCAAACATCCAACTGTCATAACAATAACATCACATGATCGTGGCCTGACAAAGTTCAGCACCAAAACCATAAACGTCAGTTTATTTCCAATTTTTATTATAATCATTATTGTCTTCAGCCAGGCAGCTGAGAGAATCAAGCCAACTTTTCTATACTCTGGGCTAATGGTTCCATTTTAATATTCCAGGCTTTTTAAAAATCCACATGGTAATTTCCTTGAGGATTCAAACGAACTGTTTCCAAATTTTCCTTGGCTTAGACATCTTAGGCAGGACAGCCCTGAAGCTCTAAGTGTTTCATGCTGCATCATAATTGAATCCAAATGTTTTCCCTTCTAACTGTGACCAAGGCCAGTTAGTTCTGGCCAGAGGGGGTTGCGTGGTTTCCTCCTGATCAAAAAATCCTTTTCAAGTCTCCTTAACCAGAGCCAGCACCTCTTACCTAACTCGCCATATGGCAAAAACCCCACTGGGTTAGGGACAACAAGCCTTCTTTTTCTAATGTATAGCCTGTGGGGAGCAGGCAGCAGATGACAACGGCCTCTCAGCTGACTTTACATCTAAGGAAAACCTGGCCTAGTGTCCAGATCGAGCCACCACAGAGAACTGCGCTGAGTAAGAAATACGAGTAAAGCTACCCAGAACACAGCCCAAAGGCACTGGCAGACCAGCGAGTGAAAGCTTGGGGAGGCTTCTCAATAGTCATGTATTGAGCGAAAAGAGGAAATAAGGCCCCATACAACCTATTTGGCTACACTGTACCCTTCCAATGACAGGACTGATGTGGTTTTATTACTACTGTGTAGTATTCTGTCCTTCCCAATCAACGAGTTAAGTTACAAAAGCAATTTTGTTCAATGTTGAATTCTACTAGGAGTACAGTACCTGGGCCATAACAGGTAAGGTTAATACCTGTTGGGTCATATACCTTCATGTCTTTTATTTATTTATTTATTTATTTATTTATTTTTAATTTTTCTATTTTTTCATTGGGGAACAGTGTGTTTTTCCAGGACCCATAAGCTCCAAGTCGAGTAGTTGTTTCAATCTAGTTGTGGAGGGCACAGCTCAGCGGCCCATGTGGGGATCGAACCGGCATCCTTGGTGTTATGAGCACTGCGCTCTAACCACCTGAGCCAACCAGCCACCCCATGTCTTTTATTTTTAAGGAAAGCAGCATGTATAGATAACCTATAACAAATGCTACCTTTCTTTTACAACCAGTCTGTGGTGCTTTGTACTCTAAAAACATTCTCATACTGACAAAACAAGTGTGTGTTGCAGGAGAGATTATTACATACAAACCATCACTTTGATGCAAGGGTTTTGACAGCATAACTAGTAAATAACTGTGGAAATTAAATTCCATTTAAATGAGTTTGTGTGATTTTTCCAGAATGTCGCAACTCCTTCTGTAATGTGATGATGATGCTATAGTTAATATTTATTGGGTGCTTAGAGTGTGCCAAGCACTATTCTAAGTGCTTTACTCATTTAGTCCACATGACAATCCTTTAAAATAGATTTTGTTAATATCCCCATCCTATAGATGAGGCAAATGAGTCACACAGCTAATGAGTAGGAGAGCTACAGTCAGTCACACTAGGGGTCACAGAATAAAGGGGGCTTCAGAAGCGCTGATGCGCACGTTCACTGGCTTAGGAGTCTCCCACTAGACACTTAACTAGCACTCTGTGTGCGGGGTCAAGATATGGTTTATCTGTCTCCTTAGCACTGAACCCAGAATTGGGCACATGGGGGGACTGAAATAAATGTTTGTGGAGTCATAAATTAAAAAAAAAGAGACATTTACTGATTTACTGTCAGAAAGCAGTTTTCTTACCACAGTTCATCACATGAGCACATTAGCCACTATATAAGATGTTTAAATTATTTGTTTAAGAAATAAGTTCTATTACAAATTTTACCCAAAAATCATTAAAAAGAGAGGTGAATCAAGTGCAATAGAAGTTGTGATCATTAAATGTTCATATCCTGACAGGCACTCCAGGATAGTTTAGTCTCTTTGTTCAATTCTGCATATTGACCTGTCCCCTTACAGAACATGAGGGGACAATAACCACTGAGACAAAAAAACGGAAATGGTCCGGAGCTAATAACAAGATCTGCGAGTAGGGGAAAAAAATTAAAATCAAATTTAAAACCAAGCACAGGGTACCAGGAAATAAGAAAACCACGCAGGCAGCCGGGTGGCTCAGTTGGTTAGAGCGTGTGCTCTTAACAAGGTTGCCTGTTCGATTCCCATATGGAATGGTGGGGTGCGTCCCTCTCCCCCCTACCCCGCAACTAGATTGAAAGTAGAGACTGGGCTTGGAGCTGAGCTGCTCCCTCCACAACTAAGATTGAAGGACAACAACTTGACTTGGAGCTGATGGGTCCTGGAAAAACACAACATTTTCCTTTCCCAATTCCTCAATAAAATCTTTTAAAAAAAAAGAAAAAAAGGAAGGAAAAAAAAAAAGAAAACCATGCAAATAGGTAGTGTCCACTGGGATCATATGAAGAGACCCAAAGGAAGAGGTGAGGCCCACTAACCTATGCTGCCCATTTCCTTCTCCCAAAAGTCTTCCCCAGTGGGGTGCCCAGAACTTGGAGAATAGTTCTCAGTGTCCTGCCGGGAGCTGAAGGTCTTCTGAATGGTCTTCCTCCTGCCTGGTAACTGAGCTACAGCTACGGAGACCTGGAACCTGCTGACGGGCAACAGATCTTTCTCTGAGCCACAGAAATGGAGAGTTGCCAAGCTAGAAGGAACCACAGAGCTAATCTAGCCCCTGACACTCACCTAGCTGCCACGGTCTAGGCAGGGAGGACAAAGCACAATTGTGCCTGATGTGCAAGAGATGCTAGCGAGAGAGAGGTGATGGGAGAGCAAACAGTAACAAAGGATGGGTGACTGAAGTCTAGAAAAAGGTACCAAAAGGGCCAACGTTGCTGTTAATTTGCAGACCAGGGAGACCGAGAATGAACATTGTTAAATCCCACCAAGTTCACTGTTCGTGCCATGCGCTTCCTTAACAATAAAGCAATCTTTTTCTCCAGCTTAAGAATTAACCCAAATTTACTAGAGGGGAGAAAAAGAAAAACCAAAACACAGCTATTTCCCATGTTCTGAAGACAACGACCACCAAGGTTTCCTCTCACTGCAAGAGCTTGAGGTCCTGTGAAATGCACCCCTCAGCAAGCAAATTTAGGGATTTCTCTTAGTGAATGAGAGGAAGGACAGCTCAACTGAACACATATTTTCGGCTGACCTCAGGTCAATGAGATCCACAGCGTTCAAGATCACTGTCTGGGTGCCTCATTAAGTCCCTCTGATGAAGAAAACTGGTCATCTATAAACTACTACTGGTCAATTTAAGACTAATCCTCATGTAAAATTTACACCAATAACCACAGAAGTAAACCACTGATGCCTTAATCTGAAAACAGAAACAAGCGGAATCTAGAATTGCAAAGAAATGTTTTCTTTATCCCTTAAAAAAGAATCTGCAAATTCCATTTAAGAAAAAAAAAAAACAAGACTATCAAAGCTTGGCTTAGTATGATATTTCATCATTTTTTTTCCTGTTTATGAAAGTAATACACGTTCACTGTAGAAACTTTGAAAAATGAAATCTAAAAAAAAAAAAAAGAAGAAGAAAACAAATCACTGATGATCTTTCCCCTCAGTATTTACTCCTAACAAGAGTAAATTTGCAAATGAGATTTTTCAGGCAATGAAGAATTTTGAGCATAACCCACAGAATATTACAAGGACGTAATTATGTCCCGAGCTCCAAACTATTCATCCTAATAAAGTTCTTACACCACTGACAATTTTCTTCTGCTTTTCCAAATCCACAGATTTTGCTGCTGGCAAGAAGTTGTTTTTTGCCTTGTTTTGTTTTTTAAAAAGCATTCAACAACCCTAAAGCAATAAATGAAAATAAGCAAATAAAGCCACTCACCAAGTTTGTAGCAATCTCCAGTGCTTCTGCGTGCCTTCCCAGACGAGCGAGGCAGCGAGCCTGCCCTTCCTCCACATCCCTTTTCATGGCAACATTTGTAGGCGGTAATTTTTCAGAGATACTGGAATATTCCTGCAGTGCTTTCTGGCAAGTATTTGTTAAATAGAGGAAATGAAGATAAGGGATGAAAAGATGGAAAACATAGTAGAAAAAAAGGATTCAGTTATAGGGATGTTTTTTTTTCCCAGGCAGAAGGTAATGTTATAACTGACCCTACAATGAGCTAAGGATGACTTGACTATTTCAGTTAGTACTATTTTTTTAAAAGGCACAGAAGAAACGTCTGGAGAATATAATCACTACTACCATGGAAAACACTGCAGTATAGCAGGAAGAACATTCTGGAGCCAAACAGACCAGGGTTTGAATCCTGGTTTTGCCACTAACTTGCTGTAGTATAACCTTTTCATCAGCAAAATAACAACAGGACTCTGGTGAGATGAAATGAGGTCACATTTTAGGGTGCCTTCTTTGCTCCTGTGGCACCATGAGATGTCTGTGCTGCAGGCTCCCGCGTAATGAGATAGAGCGCCTGGGGAAACCGACCCATAAGGACCCCACAAGACCCCTACAGTGCAGTTACAAGGAACGAAACAAATTATCTAGATCCTCTTAAAAAAGGACAGAAATTTGGGATTCGAATTACAAACACATATCAAAAGATTAAATTCATCTTCACAAACAACACATTCATAATTCAGTAGCCTGTTATTTAAATATGCCGTAACTAACAGGAGCCCCAATCAAGCAGTGCAGCCTTATGTACGCTGAATTCTACCTGATACTCATGCCGTCTGTAGGCCAGGTCGCCTTTGAATTTCTTGATCGTTAGAGCTTCAGCATCATCACTGCTCCCCACCTCTTCATAAAACCACTAGAAATTGTGAAAATAGCAGAGAAAGAAGCTATGCTCCTCCACCTCATACTCAGAAGTCATTTCCCATATGTAATTGATTAAACCTCAAAAAAAGGGTATACTTCTTCAGGATGGCACTCAAGAGGAAAACATCGACGCGGGACAATTTTAATGATGGCCCAGTTTTTATTAAAAACTGTCGCAATTAATAAACATATCAATAAAAAAAGAAGCTCAAAAGTATACATGGTTTCTTTCATCCCTAGCATTTTCAATACGGGGTTGTGGTGCCTGGGAACCTACATTTAACTAGCACAGTTCCTACTGGTTCTTTAGACTGACAGATGCTTTCTGGTAGAGAAATTTTAGAGTGGATGCAATAGGGATTGACACCTCTTTAAGGAAAGGGCATAGGAAAGAATTATCATTATAGTGCTATAACGAGCATGTCGTAAAAGCAATAGGTAGAATGGATCTAAGCAAAGAGGAGAGAGCAAATAATTAGAATGAAAGGAGGATTTTGGGGGGCCCTGCCTGCCCGACTGCAGAATCAGTGAAGGTACTTGGGAGTTAGTGCGGATTTTAGAGCCATAGCGGGACCCTCCAAACGCCAGGTGCACGTTAGCTGCTGACAGCTTGGGGGATTCCTCGCGCTCTCGGGCGCAGAGTGGGCTGAATCCACCGAGTGGGGCTCGGGGCACGCCCGTTCCCGCTGGTGGAAGGGATAACGGGGAGGCCAGGTGGGCGCAGGGTCAACCCGGAGAGGACGAGGCCCGGGGGCCGGGTCGAGGCCCAGAGGCCCCGCCCTCTTACCTGCGGCTCGCAGCGCTTGGCGCGGTAGGAAGCCGGCGGTCCAGGCCGCTGCTCCGGCCTCTCCTCGAACACGGAATCCTCGAACTCTCCGCCCAGCAGCCAGCAATCAGTCTCCATTGCGCGCCCAAGGTGGGAGCTCCGAGACGAGGCGGTGCCTAGGGCTGCGCCCACACGCGAGCCAACGCGGAAAGGCGGGGCCGCCAAGGCCCAGAGCGCGGCATGCTGGGACTTGTAGTCTCCGGAGGGGGCCAAACCGAGACTTGGTCGGCTGCAGGTTGGGAGTTGTTGAGCTGGGATTTTTATCTGACTCACAAACTGACCGAACCCCAGGACAGTTTGACTTCTCCCTTTCAGGAGATGGACAGAGCAAACCTTATATGCACGAATTAGAAAGCACTGGCCCCAGGACAGCTGTTTGAAACCGGTAGGTACCATTTTTTTCAACACTAACAACATTCCTGACACTGTTAAGCACTTTCTTTGCACTTTTTATATCCTTTCTTTATGAAAGGCACAGTGATTCTCATTTTGCAGATTAAGATATTATGGTTTAGAGAGATTAAGTCACTTGCTTACGTATCTAAGAGCAGGAGAACAAGCGAGTCAGTATTCTCCATGTACCCAGAGAAAAGACATCACCAATGACAAGGACCAGAGTAATTCACTCATTTATAAAACAGAGGACTTAGAAATTTTCTCTGGGGGCTCCATAGGGGAGCATTAATTCTGCCTGGAGAAAACATCAAATCCCATAATTCTAAGACTAGTATTTATTAACATTCTTATACTTTCAAGATGTTCCTTAAGACTGGAAAGCAGAGCCTGTTGACAAAATACCGGCCAATATTGCACAGTATTACTGTGCCATGTTACACAGCAGGTAATAGACATGGAAATTTCCTCTGGTTTTCCTCCTGTTGGTCCACACTCTCACTAATTCCTCTTCCCCCATTTGTCTCCCAGGTTTCTTTCTTTAACACAATTTTCTACTCTACACACTCTCGCTCTAGGGGAACCTAATCCACTCCCCAAGGTTTTAAAATCCATCTCTCTGCTGATGACTCCCCAAATCAGGTACCAGCCCATATACCCAGTAGTCGTGGTGGAAAGCTCTACCAGGACAGCCTCCAGGCATTAGATACTGAGGAGTTCAACCAGAGAAGGGCCGTTAAAAAAAAAAAAAAAAAAGTTTGTTTTCCCATCAGAAATGTAGCTAATCTAGCCCCTGACACTCACCTAGCTGCCACGGTCTAGGCAGGGAGGACAAAGCACAATTGTGCCTGATGTGCAAGAGATGCTAGCGAGAGAGAGGTGATGGGAGAGCAAACAGTAACAAAGGATGGGTGACTGAAGTCTAGAAAAAGGTACCAAAAGGGCCAACGTTGCTGTTAATTTGCAGACCAGGGAGACCGAGAATGAACATTGTTAAATCCCACCAAGTTCACTGTTCGTGCCATGCGCTTCCTTAACAATAAAGCAATCTTTTTCTCCAGCTTAAGAATTAACCCAAATTTACTAGAGGGGAGAAAAAGAAAAACCAAAACACAGCTATTTCCCATGTTCTGAAGACAACGACCACCAAGGTTTCCTCTCACTGCAAGAGCTTGAGGTCCTGTGAAATGCACCCCTCAGCAAGCAAATTTAGGGATTTCTCTTAGTGAATGAGAGGAAGGACAGCTCAACTGAACACATATTTTCGGCTGACCTCAGGTCAATGAGATCCACAGCGTTCAAGATCACTGTCTGGGTGCCTCATTAAGTCCCTCTGATGAAGAAAACTGGTCATCTATAAACTACTACTGGTCAATTTAAGACTAATCCTCATGTAAAATTTACACCAATAACCACAGAAGTAAACCACTGATGCCTTAATCTGAAAACAGAAACAAGCGGAATCTAGAATTGCAAAGAAATGTTTTCTTTATCCCTTAAAAAAGAATCTGCAAATTCCATTTAAGAAAAAAAAAAAANCCCATATACCCAGTAGTCGTGGTGGAAAGCTCTACCAGGACAGCCTCCAGGCATTAGATACTGAGGAGTTCAACCAGAGAAGGGCCGTTAAAAAATTAAAAAAAAAAAAAAAAAAAAGTTTGTTTTCCCATCAGAAATGTAATAGCCCTTATTAGGAAAAATTTAGAAATTCTAGAAAAACAGAAGAAAAGGTATCCATAATATCATCACCCAAAAATAATGGAGTCTAAAGAAGGTAGACATTTATACCCTAATCCTAATATGCCCTATCTGAACAGAAAAGGAAACACAGTACAGTGTCGAAGGGCCTCAAACACCAGATTTGTCTGGTTCATTTAGAATTCCTGTTCCGGGTGCAAAGTAAGAGCAAAACAAAGGCAGGCAGAAAGTTTTTTCAGCATTTTCTTTTTGAAGGCTGTTTGGTTTTGGAACTTCCACCCTCTCCTGTTCTGTGGCCCCTCCAGGTCTAGCCTCCTATTGGCCCAACAACTAACTGAGCTAGATATTCTGTTGAAATGGTTGGGAAACTGTGCAAGAGCAGCGTATGGGTAAAAGAGAGTAGTTTGCCCGTTGAACTCAGGCTTCATGGGCTCAAGGGTTTCCAGCCATTTTACCGCTAAGAATGCTTTCAGTTATAATACTTTTCGCTGAAGTTCTGGAGGATTGGTGCACTATGTACATGTGCACGAATGAGCATGAAAGTGCCATGAGTACCGATTTGGGGGTTACAAATAAATTTTAGTGAGCAGTCAAATTTGCATATACAGAATCTGTGAATCATGAGAATTGACTGTATTTGTAAATCATATATCTGATAAAGGTATAACATCCAGAATATACAAAGAACTCCTAAAACTGGACCACAAAAAGGAACCCCACTTAAAAACTTGCTAAAGGACCTGAATAGACATTACTCCAAAGAAGAATACAAATGGTCAAAAACCACATACTCAGTACACTGTGGAAAATAGTTTGATGGTTCTTCAAAAAGTTAAACATATTGGGTTGCCAGAAAAGTCATGACGTATTTTTTCTATGTTTTTCGTTGCAAAAACGCGACAGCCCAATAGAATTTGCATGACTCAGCAATTCTCCTCCTAGATATATACCCAAAAGAACTGAAAATAGGAACTCAGATAATTGTATGCCATGTTCATTGCAGCATTTTTCTAGCCAAAAGGTAGAAATAACCCAAGTTTCCATCCATCCACAGATGAATAACAAAATGTGGTACGTACGTATACACACACACACACACACACACACACACACACACACACAAATATTACTCAGACATAAGAAGTTCTGATATATGCTCCAAGAATGAGCCTTAAAAACATTATTCTAAATGAAAAAAGCCAGATACAGGACAAGGATTGTATGATTCCACTTATTTAAGTTATCAAAAATAAGCAAATTCATAGAAACAGAAAGTAGAATAAAGTTTACCAGGGGTTGGGGAGAGAGGGAATGGAGAGTTATTGCATAACTATTACACAGTTTTTGTTTGGAATGATGAAAAAGTTTTGGAAATAATGATGATGGTTGCCCAACATTGTGAATATAATGTCATTGAATTGACTTAAAAACAGATGTAATGGTAAATTTTGTTATGTATTGTTTATTTTACCACATTAAAAAAACATTTAATAAAATGGGGGAAAAAAAAGCACTGAAAACTACTAATCACTGCTAACTTTTATTTTGTATTCAGGACACAATCAACCAGGAGAGGGTTCTTTTGCTCTGTCAAATAAATATATTTAAAAGCTAGCAAACATCAGATCAGAATTAAGTGTCAAGTCTATAAAAGAGATGGGAGGGAACATTACTAATAGTTATTTACAGCTATACAAAGTTAACACATTGTAAGGGGAACAATATATATTCAAAGGCTTCATACTTGTCCAGTACTTGACATTTCAAATTTTGAAAACATGAAAATTATTGCCAAACAAAACTCAGACCACATTAGCAATGGTTTAAAAAAGAGAACAATTTAATCATTATAATACAGAGTGCTTTAAGAAGTTTTTAAACAAGTAAAAGAAAGAACAGTTTAGTGCATTAAATTGTTATAGTCTTTACATTGCTTCTTTTAAAAAAAAGTTAACAGTAGTATGAAAAAGCCACCCACAACGCCAGCTGTCTGAGTGAAGAAATCAGCTAAATTGCAGCATTTTGGAATTACTAATAAAGCTATAGTTAAAAAACAAAAAGTTTATGAAAATGAAAAGCAGCATGCATATTCAAGGCTTTTTCATAACATTTTCATTAGCTGACGAACATTTAGGTAAAAACAAGAGCTTAATATTTATTATTCATTAAATTAGATAAACTGGCCAAGCCCACTACATCTGGTCATTCAGAAAAAAAAAAAAAAACATTTAAAAATCCAAAGCTAATTGAACTGAACATTTCTTCTACGAAGAAAGCACATTTTGAAAAATGGTCCTATAGTCACAAAAGAAAGGGTCCTTCTCAACATGAATGAACAGCACCAGTCTTTATAAAGTTTATAAGTTATTATGAACTTTCAGTCTCCTGATATGGCAAGAGTTAACAGTTAACACTCCCACAATTCATAAGTGAAAAGCTAACTTTTAACTCACTATGATCAGTTCAGAATTTCTTCTCTCTTCACTGAAATTATTACACAAAGTAAAATTTCACCGAAAGATAATTCTTGAAAATTCTGCTCTGACACCTGTACAATGGTTCTGATTTCCACATGATTGTAAGAAAACACTAAGTACCTATTTACTACATGATTCTTTTTCACATTTTTGGTACAGTATTTATTTCAGAGTTTCACCCTATCCAAATTCCTAATCCAGTTTCGTTTCCTTCTTCAGTATAGTATCTTCAGTTTAATAAAAACTAAATTCGGCTTCTAAAGAAAAAAAGTAACAGAAGCATTACAAGTAGTAATAGTGGTATCCATGAATCTGTTTAACGAAAGATCCAATCATCAAGGGCCAGCGATACCACAAAATCTTATTGTTCCAACATGTGTCAACAGGCTATTTTTTTCACTTACAGTAAAAATGCATAAGCCCTTGCACAACTTTGAATCTTTGTACAGGACCTGACAAATAAGACAGAAGTAAATCAGGTTTTTCTTTTCCTGTTTCTAACCATTTTTACTCTGGAAAATGTTTGGTCACTCAAAGCTAGAATCTTAATCACATATCAAAGAATACAGACAGTAAGGCCCATCTTACTTGACATACAGTATTAAGCTGGACAAAATATGAGGACAAGCTCTAGTGGTCATTAAATACCCTCCAAAAGTCTAAGAATCAGAATGTCTCCATCGTATTAGAATAAAAATGTACTGTATTAAAATTTGAATTTTTACAAGTTGTTTTTTTTAATTAGTATTCTATTTACATTGCAGGACTTCCACCAACTGCAGTAGTTTAACTTTGGCACAACATTGAGTTCCATTCCTTTTGGGCATAGGATCCTATTTTTTGAGAATGTGTATGCCCCCAAACATTTTCAGTGTCATCAAAGATTGAGCCCATTCACAGTAAATCAGAAATCTTGAGTTGGAGAATTAATTCTCCTCCAACGTTTTCAGGCAGCTATAAAAGAAAAACATAATAAAAAACTAAAATTTTAAAGAAAATCATATTTTAATGTTTACCACTTTTAGAATCAAAAGTGATATAAATTAGCAATGAAAACACACCCTCTGTATTCACTCAGTAATACTGAGATTACTTGCCACATATCTTACATAACACGCTAGATGTGTGTACAACGCCTATGGATATGTTCTGCATACACCAGATATGTTTATAGACATTTTCACCTGTATGTAATAATTTATTAAGAAATTATTAGTAGGAAGTATATATTTCATTATCAGTATTTGTAATAAACAGACTATGAAACCTAAAGGCTCATATTTTTTCAATTTATATACAGCAGGTCCTTGAATAACATTGATTCATTCAACATCGTTTCATTATAACATTGATGAGATGCCACAGGAACTTAACCCCTGTTCATATCAATTAGCCTGTGGTAAAATCAGTTTCCTTATAGTACATCATTTTGCTTAAAGTCACAGAACCTAATTAACAACATTAAGCGAGGACCTACTGTACAAGGTTGACTTGTGCAAAAGATATATACGCGTATGTACAGTAGTCCCCCCTTACCCACAGTTTCGCTTTCTCTGGTTTTAGTTAGCTGTGGTCTGCCAGTCCAAAAATATTAAATGGAAAATCCGAGAACTAATGCATAAGTTTTAAATTGTATGCCATTCTGAGCAGCTTGATGAAATCATTGTCATCTTGCTACATCCCACGTAGGATGTGAATTATCCCTCTGTCCAGTGAATCCATGCTGTATTCACTACCTGCCCATTTGTCACTTAGTAGCCCACTGGGTTATCAGACTGATTATGAGAGAGAGAGGGAAGTGCACATTCACATAACTTTTATTACAGCATATTGTTATAATTGTCCTATTTTATTATTAGCTATTGCTGTTAATCTCTTACTATGCCTAACTTTCAAATTAAACTTTATCGTAGGTATATATGTACGAGGTCGGACAATTAAGTTCGCGAACTCATCCTATAAAAAGTGCTACATACCTCATTGCTGAATATCACTAGTCACCTTCAAAGTACTCCCCTTGGGAAGCTATGCACTGATGCCAGTGCCTAGTCCACTCTTCAGAGCAATTTTGGAACTCTTTTTCTGGAATGGCCATCAGAGCTGTTGTTGTATTACCCTTGATGTCCTGAATGTCATGAAAATGTCTTCTTTCAATATTTCCTTTATCTTTGGGTAAAGAAAGAAGTCATTGGGGGCCAGATCGGGTGATAAGGGAGGGTATTCCAATACAGTTTATTTGTTTACTGACTAAAAACTCCCTTACAGACAGTGCCGTGTGAGCTGGTACATTGTAATGACGCAAAAGCCATGAATTGTTGGTAAAAAGTTCAGGTCATTTTCATCTTTTTCACACAGCCTTTTCAGCACTCCCAAATAGTAAACTTGGTTAACTGTCCAGTTGGTACAAATTCACAATGAATAATCCCTCTGATATCAAAAAACGTTAGCAACATCATTGCAACAAGTTCGCTAACTTAATTGTCAGACCGCATATAAGAAAAAAAAAGTATATATAAAAAAACAAACATAGCATGCATATATATATATATATATATATATATATATATAGGGTTTGGTACTATCTGCCTATCTGCGGTTTCCGGCATCCACTGGGGTGGGGAGGGGGTCTTGGAATGTATCCCTGAGGATAACGGGGGACTACTCTACCTCGCTTTTTGCAATAACAATTTTGGAAAGATATTGATTACATTTTTTGTATGTTAAACCATATTTAAATGAAAAAGCAACTGTTTAGAGGAAACTTATGGTGAATCCTTTTGTAGGATGAAAAGTTATTTGGTTAAGCCAACAATACCTTGCTAATTAATGTGTTTTATAATTTTAGACTTTTGTATATTTTGAAAGCAAGGCAAGCTTTTATACGTACCACAAAAGTATACGTATAATATGTGATACAATTTTTTGAAAAGTGGCTTTGTGTGAATTTTCTGACCATACTATCCATTAGAGTATTAATATATAATGTAAGAATTATCCACACATGCTTAAAGTAAGGTCAAATTAAACTGTACAAAAAACTTCACATTATTTTTAGAAGGCTGCAATTCCCTACAAAATCGCTGCAGAGGTTACAACAAGAATTCATTGCGGCAAAAATTTGTTGATTTAATCTTGGCTGAGTGCACATTCTTGTGTTTAGCAATAAAAAAAAAATGCCTGTTAAAAATATGTTATGCATCTGGGTCAGAAGAAAGCCTGTCCTGAAGACTTCCGATGCTAGGAAATGGAGGGATATGCGTCAGGATAAAGCTGTACGAAACGGTTTAACTTCTAGTGACTTACAATGATACATTATGCTCTATAACCTTGAATGAGATTTATTCGAAAGTAGGTGCATTTTTAGTTTCATCTGTTCTTCTGCCTGAAAAAAAAAGTTAATTGAAAGGAAACCTGGAAAAGGATTCCTAAGCAATAAGAATAGTCTGGTACATATTAAGTTCTCTATAAATAACTGTTATAACAAAATAAACAAAACAAGGAAGACGTGGGGGAATTAAGGAAACACTGTGCAGAATAAGGGAACATAAAAGTAGAGGACGGGTAGGGATGCAAAAACCTAAGGAAATAAGTAAATATGTTCATATGATCATGAGGGTTTATACCTCGTTCCCTCCTTTACATTCTGACAACACTGCAGAAATTTCTGATAACAAGATGCTTTTGGACTACTGATGAACATATACAAACATTTCATGACAACCGCACTGTTTTCAAAAAAGTACAGTTTTATCCTGGAACACTCCAAAACCGACAGTAAGGAATACAACTATGCTACTGAATTTCTAAAATATTAAGAATTGAAGTCCTCCAAATCAGATTTCTGATTTGCATCTACAGTGAAATTTTAATTAATCCAATCTATAGAAGAATTAAGATTTAAAGAACATGCCAAACCTATCAAATTGAAAGCGTATTTACTTGCATTTTTATGACTACAGAAAGTATTTTTAACCAAATACAGCGTTTCTGCTGGTAGCAGGTTTGTTTTATATCAAAGGATGAAAAGACATTTTAGGCAATTTAATATCAGATCTGTTATTTACCCTTAGATCTCTAAGACAGGAATAATTTATATCACAGTTTTCAAAAACAGATGCCACCTAAGCAAGCATTTATATATAGCCTAAAACAGACCTTTGGCTTTTCATAGAAAAAATACTAATAATTTTAACACATAAAGCATTTTAAACTCTAATTCGAAATCTAATAGTTTTGGGGGTAATACAATGAATAAAAAAAAAAATACCCATTTTCACCTAGTTTCCTAAAACTGAGCAATCCTCACCCCGTGGCAAGTCTTTCCTTCGGTATACTTTCCCCTTCTTTTTAGATTTTGTTTTGAACTCTTTCCTTAAATAGGCAAAATATGAAGCTTTAGTGGAGGGTTGCAAAAAATACATTTTAGTTATATTTAGTATTTGTGAATTCCCCCTTGCCCACCAAGTCTCCCTTTCTTAGAGAACAAGTAACTTTTCCTCAAAACAAAGTGTGAAACATTTCATATAAAAAATAAATAAAGCAACATGAAACTCTACATAATAAACATAACAATCGTGATAATCAGACTACACGTGATAATCATATATTTCTTAGCTACACTCATGGCACCTAGTCCTCTTAGTAGGTAAAAGAAAAACTATTTTAGAAAAAAAACTATCAAAAGTGAAGATGAAAGATACAGTTACTGTTCTAAATGTATGTAGTTGATGAACATATGCTCAAATTAAAAACTTACATTTCCAATGGTGATAACGGAATAGTCTACGGTCTAGTTAACAGTAATGTAGCAACGTCAGTTTCCTGGTTTTGCTATATTACTGTAGCTCTATGATGTGTCACAACTAGGTGAAGCTGGGTAAAAGGCACTCTTTGTACTATGTTTGCACTTCTTGTGAGTCTATAATTATTTCAAAATAAAAGGCGTTAAGTGAAAAACAAACAAACACTTACATTTCAGTCATCTGATTTTGAAAGCTTCCGCTTCACATGTCGTGGGGGTTCCCAAGTGTCACTGTCATCCGTCTCTTCTTCATCCTCTTCCTGATCATCAATAACTTCATCTTCCTCCTCGTCTTCCTCAAACAATTCTAGACCTAATTCGGATCTTCTCTGTCTTTCTGCAAACCACTCTCTGACCTGCTCGTAGCCCATATGTGATTTGTTAACAAGTTCATCGAGGTCTTGCTCGTTAAGAAATTTGTGCTTCAGGTAATAATCCTTCAGTATGGCAGTTCCAGTTTTAAACTTTATGAGGGACGGCCCCCTGTCCCAGTTGTTCACCCTCTTGCCCCCTCTGGGCCGCCCGCGCGGCCTCCCGCGTCCGCGTCCTTTGGGTCTCCCCCGCCCCCTCCTCCTAAGGGACGACAGACCATTCATACCGCTCGAGTTGGCGCTTTGATAGTAGTAGTACCATTTTAAGTTTCCGTTTTTCCAAGCATAACGGGTGTCACCAAACCAACTAACTATGTCCGTTCTAGCAAGCCCGCTTTCTTTGGCCAGCTTGTCATACTCTTCGGGCGTCGGCCACTGCGTTCGGACAAAGGCGCTTTTGAGCAGGTGTAGCTGCTCGGGTGTTTTTTTACATATCTTTCCCGTACTCCCCGACTTAGGAACACCAGCTTCGTCTCCGGGAGCAGCTTCTCCAGCTTCTTCTTTGGAACTGCCTGCATTATTACTTTCACTGATTTCCACTTTCTCTTCCTTTAAAGCTTTTGATTTCCTCCTCTCTGTAAACCAAGCATCAATTTCCCTTCTGGTAAGTTTGGTTTGCGCTCTGAGCCTGTTTAATTCTTCATCAGTAAGGACAGAGCTGTTGAGAAAACTTGCCTGAAGGGCCCGAAGCTGCTCTGCCGTCTTCTCTTTAAACTTCTGGGGAGTAAAGTCGGGAAAGGGGTTCCAGGATTGTTTATGCTGTGAAATAAGGGGAGTTGGGGATTCCGTGGTTTCATCGCTGGAGTCTATAACAATCGTGGTGGAGGAATCGCTGTTGAGATGCAAGCACTGGTTACTCTTTGAATTTCTCTGGTTATACCTCGTGTCGCTAAACCATTTTTTAATCTCTCCTTTGGTCAGGCCTGTGGTTTTCATCAGTCTGATAATTTCTGAATCATGGGGAAACTGATTTTTAAGGTAGCTAACTTTTAATTCTGCCAATTGCTCTTTAGTCTTCTTTGCCCGGATGCCAAATGAATCGGGGTTTGCAGTTTCATGCTTGACAAGCTGGGAAGGCGGAGCTGCTGGTGTGGCTGGTTTTGTTTCTGCAGTAGGCTGGGCGGCAGATGCCTGACTTTTCTGTACATTGGTTTGGCCTGGCACCCCTGCCACTGTCAAGGCTATAGGTGCGGTCACCGGCAAGGTGTTTGTCCCAGCTACCTGGGTGAGAACCAGGCCCGGCTGACCGACTATTTGGCATGTCTGTAAAATGGATGGTAAGCCGTTACTGCCCGTGGAAATGTGTGTGGGAATAACAGTTATGGTCTGAGGTACAGTGTGCACTGTTCCGTTGAATTGCTTCCTTCTTGCCTCCTCTACTTCCTCGGGAGTCCAGCTCACGCCATGTTTTAGACGTTGGGCCGAAAACCATATCTTGATCTGTTCCTCCGTATATTTTGCTTGGGCAGAAAGGACAGTAATTTCTGACATGGTTGGATAGGGGAATTTGTTGTAGGTGTTAAGCAGAAGGGGGTTGTTGTCCAACGCAGCATTGTAGGTCGGAATGCTATTCACAGGGATTAAGACTTTGGGAATCAAACTGGAATTCTGCTGAGCGGACACAGCGGTGATCACCTGTGCTAATCCAGGGAGAACTGCTGCCGGCGTCACTACTGTGCTGGCAGCATTCGGATGTATTCTGTTGACAACGGAAGTACTGGTGTTAGATTCAGAGGCTGAGGAGCTTGGACTTTCCCCAGTTTCTTCACGGTCTGGTTTGCTTTCATTCTCTTTCTCTTCAGGAACATCCTCAGCTGAGTTATGGTGAACCGTAATCCGTTTGTTCTCCACTTTATTTTTCATCATTTTCATGATAGGAGTTTTACTGATAGATATTCCCGAAGACGAAGCTTCAGTAGATTCAGCTGGATCTGAATTCTCCTCTTTAACAAAACTGCCATCAAAAGTTAGATCATTTATGGTTTGTTCAAAGATTGTCTGGTTATTTCGTTTCACCATAGTCAACTTAAAATTCTCCTCTCCCGGGTGGTATTTCAGATTATGCTCGGAAAGTGCGTCATACCTTTTGGTAAGAAAATTGCATTCAACACAAACGTAGGATGAGTTTAGCACTACATTGGGGTGTTCTGAATCCACATGAAAAGTAAACATATTTAGGTCTGGAGTTTGAAAAGTACAATATTTACATTCATAGCCACCTTCAACTTTTTTATTTTGCTGATTGTCAGAATCCGCAGACTCATGAACCTCTTCATCACTTGAGATGCTCTCTGCTCTGGGGTTTTCTACAGGCGTGAGGACAGGAGGCCCTTCATCCAAATCTGATATCACCTCCAGGTCTGTAACCTGTTCGCTGGCGAGGACCATGCAGGGTGTTGTCGACTTTCTCCTGCTGGCCATCCTGATGTTATGGGGAACTCTCAGTGGTGATTAAGGAGCATTGAGGCTGAAAACTGGTCAGTGTTCTTCATTTGAAAACAATGGCTTTTGGTTCTTCAAGTCCATTTTTGTGCTCAGCGAGTCTCATTAGCAGCTTTTTCATGGTGCAATCAAGTAAAGAGCTTATTGTTGGCAGATAAAATACTGTTGAACTGCTGAAATTTTTGAAGCACAACTCCAATCACCTACATTAAAATAAATTTTAAAATGTTTTTAAATGAGTGATTATGGTCTTTTAAACAAATTACAGTTATATTTCCCTTATTCATATAAGGGATGTTGTTGGATGGCTCTGTTATAAAGCTCTAGAGTAAGACCGGAACCAGGGAAAAAGTCCTCTAAGGATCAAAATAGATGTCTCTTGTACCCTACGCGTGGATTCGCCCCCCAGGATTGCTTATTTGGATTTTTCAGCCAGTTATATATTGGAAGGGAAGTAAGGGAAAGAGTCTGCTTTGGAAAGCACACTATTATCAATGTTGAAGTGATAATCTGTTAACAAGGGAGGGGCTTTATAAAGAGCAGTCATGGATACTTAATGGACTACGGCCATTAAGTGTATAAGAAACTCAGTCCATCAGTTATGTCCTCTTCTTCCTACCGGTCCATCTCTTCATCCCCAAAGCATGCCCACGTATGGCAAAAGCAGCAAAGATGGAATGTGAATGAGCCAAGTTTTGGAAACATTATTCTTAATAATTTTCTATGCTACCAGAATTGACAGAACATATCTCATCACATCAGTCTCCTGACTTAAAGTTTATGATGAGTCACCGATGCCGAAAGAATCAAGTCCCGCCTCCCGCGGCCACACATCGTTCCCTTCACACCCGGCCCTGACTTCCGTTTCCTTACGCTTTAAGCACACAGACACGGGACACTGCGTGCAGGCCGTTCCTGAGGCCAGGGCACGTGTTTGAGCCCTTGGCGTGATGATCTGTCGGCCTTACAGGTCACCTTCTCCCTTTAACTTGATCTCCGCCCTGGTTTATTTTCTAGTCTAGTATCGACTGTATTGTAGTAATGTTACATTTCTGTCCCACAGCCTATCCAAACCCCAGGTCTCCTCATGGTAGGTGTGTATTTTGTTCTTTTTCCTCTTCTTTTTTTAAGTAATAGCTTTACTGAGATATATAACAAAGCTCCCGAAACTCTGGATCAGGCCAAGGACCTTTATGTCTTTAACCTAACGCTGTCCTCGCTGAGCTCTTAGTTGACTTCTTGTTCATGTCTCTGTTCCCTTTGCATACAAGAAGCCTGGAGGCAGGGGACTCACTAAATGTTTATTAACTTGAACTAGAATGAACAGGACAATAGTCCTACAAAACTCAACATGCCCTGAGGGCATCACCACAGAGAATAGTAGCTGAAATGCCTAAGAATGACCTTGAATCAAGAAAATGTGCATTGTGCTCATAATACATTTTAATAATTTTGTACCTAAAATATTTAAAATAAAATTTTGATGCTAAATCAGTTAAAGTTGATGTGCTTCTAAATGAAGTAAAAATAAATAAAATTACTAAGTGGTCCCACTTATTCTCTACCACAAATTAGAACTATTCATTTACTAGCATAGTCCTTATCATAGCTGAACTGAGAAGAAAAAGTTTACTTCAAAGATTATAAAGCAAAACCAGGTCTCTATGAGAAGACACATTGACTCTCAATAAAAGGAGAAACATTTTTAGGAAACAGTAGCTGTCCAAAGAGAGAATAGTGTGCGTTGGTGGTATAGTGGTGAGCATAGCTGCCTTCCAAAGAGAGAATGGCCTGCCTTTGAAGGTGGTAAGATCCCCCTCACTGGGATTATTCAAATACATACTACATACCCATCTGATGGATCCAAGCAACAGATGGAAAGTTGGACTCAATGCCCTTTGTTCCCCGATTTCCTATATTTATAAAATAAAGACCATCGGCTTAGTAACAAGTGTGTTAATAGTCCAAACCCCACTCTCAAAGATGGTGTTCTTTTTTTTTCTATACAATGTCTTTGATTTCTAAGGGAATATAAAGAAATATGACATTGAAAACTGTTTCTTAACAAAATGTTATAAACTAATAAGTTAATGCCATTTCTTTTATTCAACAGGGACACTACTATTTTGTTCAAGGGTTAGCATACGAGTAGCTGTTTGATAATTTTTTGTCATTAGAAATGAAATTCCTCCAACAGCTTTAAGTAATTGGAGTACAAATGAGCAGCACCCACATTTTTGACTGTGAAGGAGAATTGCTGAAAGGCAAGGTAGTAGCTATTTTGTGACTGTTATTCTCCTAGAATCTCAGGTTCTATTTAATTGGAGTATACCAGTAGCTAAAGGTCAAAGATTGAGGGTTTTTTCCGGAAACTACCTTTCCTGAAAGTGGTGGTTTACAAACTTTTTATTGTAAGCAGGGGAACCTTTTCTTCTAACAAAATTCTATGAGAAGCCCCACTGCAAAACAGATAAAAGAGTAGCTGTCTGGTTGGAGAAGTAAAGAGGCTGAACTACCTCCGGATCCCATCCCATGGATCCCACAAACCCTACTTCCACCTCCGATGGGTTCCAAGATGTATTTGAAAGCCTTTGCCTTAAAAATGTAAACAATTTCAAGACAAGTTATCAGTTTCATCAAAAATCCTTCTCAGCTTGCCACTGCTGAGCCATGAAATTTGAAAACTAATCTAACGTGAATTAAGTGTGTCCTTTTGGGTTATGTCACTACAGAAGGCGGGCCTGGGGCACCCAGGAGTAGGACAGAGTAGCCAGTACTAACAGGAGACATAGTAGAGGCACTTATACTCAGAACAGAGCTCAGAGCTCTTTATTATTCTGGCTTTCTAGCTCTTGGGCTAAACTTACTTTTTTATCTTACCTAGCATAAAAATAAGAATATGCTACCAAATTATTACTTTTATTCCTCTTCCTTATAGCTCACTAGCTCAGGATGGGTCAGTTTGTAAGAATTTAAGCAGATATAAACAAATTTTAAAAGCTTAAATTTTTTGCTAAAGTCATGAAAATTACAAAATATTCTTATGTTATAATACAATCTAATAATGCATACACACAATTGTGCTTTTTCAATATAATTAAATTTAAATAAGATCCTTAAAAGAGAGGCTTTTAAAAAACATATCTTCAGTAATGCACAAGCCTAAAAATTTGATTATCTTGGGTACTACTGATTGCTTCAACCTTAGGTTACTTCTATACCCAACTATATAGGCTCTCCTCTTTACTCCTAAAACTGTTGCTCACATTTTGTTAACAAAACCAGAGTTGGTATATTGTTTAACATATTTCGAAGGGGAGACTGAGAATTCCCAAAAGAGCCTCAAGATTTGGTCCAGCGGCTCAATTCTACTCTAATATATAGTATATAGCCTAAAAATAGGCCAAAGCTCTAACAAAGGCATCCTTGGCATTCTTATTAGAGTCATAATTTGAAAGGAAGCAAGGACCTCAGTACAATCACCCCATTTTTATGGAAGAAGAAACCCAGACCCAAATATAGGGCAAAACCACAGGTTTTGGAGTCTCCTCTGTCACTCAGTAGTTAGATGACTGGAAAAGTTTATCAATGCAATCTTCAGTTTTTGTACCTATAAAATCAAGATGCTATAATTCAACAATTTCATTGAACAGCTATTTGTTGAATGTCAACCATGTGCCAGGCACTGTATTCGGCATGAGAGATACAGCCATGACCAAGATAAAGTCTCCCTGGTCTGTCAGGTATTAGCAGTTGAGCAAGGAAAACAGGCAGTAAACAATTACTTAGAATAACTATGATCCAAATGCAATGAGAGGAAGTATCGGGAACTGTATGAGCACATTGCGGGGGCTTCTAGAAAAGAAGAGTGCCCTGGAGAAATGAAGAATAGTGGTGTCTACCTCAGAGGGTGATCCAATTAAAAGGCTTCACACACTCTGATACACAGTAGGTAATTAATTGATGGTATTGTCCAGTCTCTGAAAAATTCTTATGGGGGATGAAGAAATATTATTTCTAAATTATATTTAGAAATATTATTTACACTATTTCCTCTCTCAAGCAACTTAATCAGCTGACAAGGCACACAAATTGAATGAAAAAGCAGAAGGGGTAAAAATACAGAATAAGAATTGCTATGGCGTGGTTCCAATTCATCTCCTTTGTCACTAGAGTGCAATGGGGCTGGCACAAGAAAACTGCCATACAGAAATTGCTGTTAACTGACAGACATCTTGTCCTCTATTTGAAGGTCAACTGGAAACAGAGTTCAAAATCAATCTTGGGAACCTTGCACAATTTACCTATAAAAGGGGGTTAGAGTTCAGTTGCACAACTGAGTAGTGAAGTGGCTTTGCAATTAAAACAAAATTAAAGTGAAGTCTGCCATTAAGGAAAAAATATGCTCTAAATGCATCAGCACTGTAAATATAGTTACATTTGAAAACTATTTTCAGTTAACCTTTCAGTAGAAAAATATGTTTAAAAAAATAACTGATCAAATCGTTATACTGCTAGTAAAATGATAATCAAAAGAGTAATTAGGAATATGAAAAATATTTATCCACTTACTGAATTTTTAAAAATCAGAACAGGATTTGCATATTAATTATAAAAATAAATAATTATGGGAAAATATGTATGCATGTGGACAAAGACTAGATGAGAATATAAAAAAAATGAGTTTTTCACATGAAATGAGTGAAATTTTTGTATGGTATTTACAAGTTTTCTTTAATATTGTTATAACATTATTATAAAATACAACAAACAATAGCTTCAAGGCCTTAAAATTGCAAATAAACTAAAATATTTCTAAGGTCATTTGTCTCAAGCTGGAAACAAAGTTTGCTTTCTATTTTTTAAGGCAAGAATATGTGCTACATAAAGGTTTTTTCAGAGGGAGCAGGGACCCCTGAGTACGCATGGCGTTCAGGTGTCTTGTAGACATGTTTTTGGAGCTGCTGCCCCAGGGTCTGAGAAGTCAGACGGGGTCTAAGAACACTCAAGAGCCTCCACAATCCCCATGGTGTAGATCTAGACCAAGCCAATTTCCATGGTTCTATCTGCATGCTGACTCTTCTCCTTGATGGTAGGTAGGTTGCATCTCAATGAATTCATGATTCTTAACTCATCAAAATAATTACCACAAAGTTTCTCTCCAGAAAAGCATTTAATGAAAGCAAAATTTATTTCATCACAGTATAAAAATTGGGGGCAGTTCTAATAGCAGTTCTTCTTACATGGTCAGAAAGAATGTCTGTTTAGCTTTCCCCAGGGCCCAACACAGTGCCTATCAAGGCCCCAGTAATATCTGCTGGAAAAAAAAAAAAAAACAACTTTAAAATATATCTGTGTTGTGTATTATAACGTACACTTTACTCATTAAACACTCATTTATAGAGGAGCTATAAAGAAAAACTGTGCTTGCTTTATGGTAGATGACTTTCAATGGTAAAATCCTTACTAATAAAATTACCTTAATCATTAGAATATTAAAATATCCTTGAATATAAAACATTCTACTTCTTAAAATATGGCAATGAATATTCAACAAATATTTACCAACATCTATAATTCTGTTGTAATAAATCAGCTTTATGTATGAACAGTGTATGTCTAGATTTGTGGACAACATAAGAACGAAACAAGGGAGACAAATTCATCCAAAGATTAGTCCTGCAATGAAATTCAGGAGAAAAGGGCAGAGTTCTTGTAAAGACAGCAAATGCAAATTTGAACTTAGAATCACTATTTCTCTGTTTCAAGAGAGACCTATACTTTAATGGTATAACATTTTTAAAGAGATTAAAATATAAGTTCTCAATGTAATGCACTGTAAAAAGTTAGTGGATTGTTTTAGTTTCTATGCTTAGTGCTTAAAAAAAAAGGTCCAAAAATTTTCATAGTTAAGCAGAGCCATAACTACACTGAATTTCCAAGCCTCTATTTTTTTGGCTGTCTTATATTTCAAATTAAATGATTAACAGATAGCAGTTTATTGGCCTAGTTAGCCATAAAAGCGTGTTATTTTGGTCAGATTTTATGTGACTAAAAACAAACTTTGTTTTTTACACCAATTCTGAGTCAAATAAGAGCATTTAGAAGATACCTATAATTTTTACAGATCATGTTTGCGTTGACCTAGTACCAACTAAATAAAACTGTTCTTTGGGTAGCTAAAATATGAACTGAGAATCCTTTGGAATATGTATTCATACATATACTGAGAATTCTTTGCACTCTGTATTCTATTTAGTTTCACTTCTCCCTCTCTGAGTCAGAGTTCTGTTTAGCCAGCTGAAAATACTTATTTTTACATATTTGTATTCAAACTGAGAGTTACAAACTACCAAAATCACAGAATGCCTGAAATAGTAGTAGGAACAAAGGATCAAATTAAAACAAAGGATATCCACCATGTGGAAAAAAAAAAAAAAGACGTCCAAGAAGATACTTTCTGAAATAATAAACAAACAAAAACATTATGGCCTTTACACACTTGAGGAAAGCATTTCGAAACAACCGTCAAGTTCTTAAAAAAAAATTCAATGAGAAATTTGACAACCCAAATTTGTACCCACGACAAATTATTTTTAAAAATTACTGTAACCTAGGACCATTACCTGAGAGATGAATCTCAAGAAAATTGCCAAAGTGGTATCAAAACAATCAAAATTCAAGTATTCAGGTGACTAAAGACAGGAATGAATGTGATAAAAATGAAAGCATCTAAGAAACTGTGGCCAAAGATAATCTAATTTCAGAAGATCCCTTTGTTAATGCTAATTAAGGCTTAAAGGTTTAGAAACTCTATCCTCTCGCCTGTTTTTTTCCACCTAAGAAAGCTGACCTTAATACTGCTAAAGATTAAAAGAAGAATCCGAGTTGGACAGATTTCTCCTGGCAGAGGCTCTGCCTCCAGATTTGAGGAGTGAAAGGTCTCTAGGATACTAACATCCTGGGTTTCTGAACCTTCTGCGGGCATGTCAGCAGGTCTTTACACACTGAATGACATACAGACTAGCACTACAGTGAAATCTATTTGATGTTACAGTTTGTGTGATGAAAAGGAGTTTTCTGCTGAAAATAGTTTTCCCCTACTTTTCTCAAGGAGATGTGGTAAGTCTTTCACAGGCAGTCTAACACAAGAATGCTATTCTTGATTCCAAGTAAGAGTGTCATTGAGAGGCTGAAAAACCATTCATCTTCACCCTTTATAAAATAACTATTATCTATTTCACTCAGGATATAATAATTTTTTAAAATTTTTAAATACTTTGAAAGATCATAGTAATTAGATTGGTAATGTCAACTTTTAAGGAAAATTTTTTAAAAACTGGAAGTGAATTACCATATTAATTGTTATATAATCTTGCTGACTACTTTCTGGAATCATCTAAAATAACAATTGGACTAAAGCATAAATATTTCAAACACTATAGTATATAACCTAATGCTTCTTATAAAAGTCAATATATCAGGTAAATAAAATATAAAAGTAATTACGTAAAAATATATTCAAGTATTTAAATAATGGTATGCTTAACCTAAATCAAAGTATTTCCATTATTCACACCCTAATTTTATAATTACAATGAACTATTAGTAGACTATATATTAAAAATATAGTTTCAGGGATTGTTCTTGAAGCATTTTTCTGGATATAGACAAAAGAAGAGTAATATTTCTAGATCAGTTTCCCTACACTAAAGGTCTCTGCCCTCATGACCTTCATTTGTCTTATTTACCACTGTGACCACAACACCTGCTATATAGGATCTGAAACACAAAGGATTTCAGCAAGTATCAATTGAAAAGTCAATGATAAATATACCACATAGATTCATTATGAAGTGTGATGGTGTTTCCTTTGAAATTAAAGCAGCCAATACGCCTATATATTTTTAAAGTTTGAAAGTACATTTCTTTAAAAAGTGTTAGGTTATATATCTGCTGCTTTTTAAAGAAAAGCTTTTAAAACTGTAGCTAAATATAGTACCACGGGATCTAAAGTGAGAACATTCAGTATCTGGGTTTTACCTTAGCAGAACAAACACATACCTGCCATAGCGTCCTCAGCATTCTGTTCTCTGACACTGAAGGGTGTTCCTTCAAATTAGGAGGTGTTTAGCTCAGGCCATCATTACCAACAGGTCCCAAGTACCTATCTGCCATCTCCTACAAAAGAAAGGAATATCACTTTATTATTCTAGATATGATTCAGTCTTAGTCAGGAAATTTATGCCTCAGCATTTTAAAAATAAATGTCATTTGGAAAAAAACTTTAAAAGATTCATCTAAATGCCAAAGCCTATTTATTAGTAAGAAACACAAAAATTGAAAACTACACTTTAAAAAATTCTATTTATATTATGCAAAACAACCAAATCACTATTATACTATTTTCAATAAAAATTTTCAAAATGTGAATATATGCAGACTATCACAGGAAAGCTAAGATGAAGAAATTGGGAACTGTAAAAAATTACACGAAAGTTACGAAAGACAACTTAGTTAAACTAAGAGCTGGAAAGAGGTGTGTGTTTCTATGTTTACACATAAACCTACGATATTTGTATCCTAATTTACTGTGTATTAATTGGAATGGAGTGGATTATTAATGTTGGCAACATGCCAATACTACTTAAATAAACTAGTGGTATTCTACCCCTAAACATGTGGTATCTAATAGAATGACCGGTGTGTAAGTATTTCGTTTTTGCAAGAAAGCTACCACCAAATGGCTTTTCAATCAGTGCATTGTGAAACATTAAACTGTACAAACTGACAATCATTCTCTGAAAACTCAGATTTGTGTCCAAAAAAGTTGTGGTATATTACTCAGAGTTAAACCAATCAAGAGAATTTAATAAAAACTATAATTGTTTCTCTTATTAAATAACAGTAAATAATGTTTTTTTTTAAGGGTTGACTCATTTTTGTTGTTGTTCTTTAAGCCCTGAAACCCTGTAAACCAGAGTGAATGAATATTAAGGAAGATGATTTTCCCCAAATACCGTATCCTTTGATTCCTGCTATTATTACATACAAGTTTACAAAGAGCCCTCTTAAGTCAAGAAATAACGTAAATGGACCAATCCTTCAGTAAAATTAAAATGCTTCTAGGTTAAGTGGAAACTTAGGATAAACAGTTACACTATGTTCATGAAAAGTAAAAGAGCATTTCTGTGGGCGCGTGGAGCGTCCTGTTATGTTTGCAGCCTGGGATTCTACAATTTCATTTCCTGGTATCTCCTTGTTCCGTCACCCCCTAGCCACCCATTTACAGGATGTGGATTAGAAGAGAAGACAGCAAACAGTTGCCAAGGAGGGGAGGTTATTTTCCAAAATGAATTATTAATATTATAGGAAATTGGTAACCTATTTGAATCCATTCTGAAATTGCACAGTAATTGCAAGACTTTTTACCTAAATGAGAGTCTCCTGAGAAGAGCCACCAAGACATGCAAAGGCACAAGGCAACTAGAGGAGCAACAAATGAGCTCCCCAATACGTCTGGATGAAAAGCATACTTGCCTGATGTTATTTCACTTCCTGATACTAGCATTACTTTAGAATGCTTCTCTAATTCACAATATCTTTTTAAAATTTAGGATTAGAGTGAATTTCAAAAATTAAAGAAATCATCTTAACCATTTAGATTCTGTAATATTTAGATTCTATAATAATTTAGATTCTATAATTATAAATAAAGATGAAGCGTTTGGGCTCTGGAACCAGACTGCATGGGTTCCAATTCCAGTTCTGTCATTTACTAGCTGTGTGACCTCAGACAAGTGACTTAGCCTATCTGTGCTACAGCCCTCTCATCTGTAAAATGGGACTAATGATAGTACCTGTTTAATAAGGTTACTGTGAAGATTGAAAGAAATAACACATGTAAAGTTTTTGGACTATTTCCTGGCACTTAGTAAGTCCACAATTGGATTTAATTGACTTTTATTTAAGGTATCCACTGTAAGCTATACAACAAAGAAAGTTTTTGTTTAAAGTTTGCTAAATATTGAAACATTATAAAATATTTTAAAAGTTCAGGCAATAATCAATTTTATTTTCTACTTCATATCCTTGAGCATATATATACAGAGGGTGCCAAAAAATGTATACACATTTTAAGAAAAATGTATTAAAATTGTAGTACACAATATATACCAATAACAAAAAATGAATACAAGTCACGTTTGACTTCTGCAATGACAAGAGGTGCACTAAGTGGTTACCATTAGCATCCAGACAATTCTGATTACGGTGAACTACTGTTTGGCAACATTGACCAAAGTGTCCACTTGTATATGGTTTTTTTTGGCACCCCTAGTATTAAGCAATGCTAGAACAAGTTGGCTTTAACAGGTAGACACTAATCAATCACAATTTACACCCCTTACCCCAAAATACACATACTTCCTCTGACCTGAGCTTCAAGATGAATCATTTATGACTCATTTTAAGGGGTGTTTCATAGAACTTAAAAACCTCTGATAGAAATAACCTTGTCATAGTAATGAAGAGAAGTTGTTCTCTTCTCACCATAACCCCCACTCCCTAGTACAGTCCATGCCCAGCAAAATTTTAACAAACTTCTTTTTGACAATATTAGAAGGTAAAAGGAAACAGGCTCACATAGAAGAAAAACATAACTATGAGTGAAATACTTAGAAACATCAGAGCCTTCCTATCTTCTTTCATTCTTCACAACAATCAAAAGAGAGAATGAGTTTTAGGAAGAGGGGAAAGAGAGTCAGAAATCCTACAGGAAATATGAAATCACGAAAATTTACAGACAAAGTTGTTATTTTATTTAAAATTATAAATATGTATATGATATGTCTACCACTTTAATGTTTCAACTTTCTTAGATAAGCTGATTTTTTTAAAATCTAAATCTAAAAACTGAAAACAAAAATCTTGTATAAAAAATGAGTTACTCAACTCTGACTCCTTTGAATAAATGTCATTCTTAAACTGCTCACATATACTTCTTTTCCAAATAATATCATCATATTTGTTTAGACCAAATGTATATAAGACCACCTTTATACCTCTTAAATACCTTATGGGACACTTATGATAGAAACTACAAAGATTAAGTATTCTTTAAGACCCAAACCTGGCAACTACATTAAAAAATTACAAAAATATTTACTTTAAAAATTAACTGTGTCAAATACAGATATCCAAAATGTAAACTCAAATATATATCCTGATTAGTAATCTAAGCAGCTTTAGTCATGCAAATCTGGTTAGTCACAACTACAAATATATCAGAGCAACAAGGATAAAATAAAGTATATCAGTAATATCATGGAAACATTGGCTGGTATCAAAGATCGGTATTACAGTTTTTTCCCTTCAAAGAAATGTAGTTTGAATTACTTTTAGAAGTACATAGGATGCTTTAAAGGATTTTAAGGTAGAAAAAACTTTGATGTAAAAGTGAATGTGCTATACTAACACCATAAATAGTGCAATAGGTATTTCCAAACATCTCCCTGAATTTATTGATGTATGATTAGAAACCAGCTTAGGCACTGAACTTTCAACACTGTTGCTATTCAAGTAAGTAGAGTCTTTTGAGCTCAAATCTACAATGCCACAATGTATATAAAAAGATTATTTCCTCAGCTACATTTGTAGTCTTTTTTTTTAACAATTTTAAGAGTATTTCCATTTAAGTACAAAGCTATGATTTAAAGCAAACTAGTCCCAAATATCACATTATTGTGCCCACTTAATATTACAAGACTGAAAATGTATAATACATCATAACATCACCTTTCAGTCTTAATGTGAAATATAATATAAAGGGAAGAAAATCTCCAAAATGAACCACCTTGCCCATTCTTTCTTTCTTTTTTTAAATTAGTTTCAGGTGTACAACACAGTGCACTAGTTATACTTTTTGCCTCTCAAAGTGATAACCTCCCTCCCCCAATCCGCCGCCCCACTCCCCTCCGTAGCATACATATCTATTACAATTCCATTGAACACCTCACCCATTCTATTAAGTTCATTAATAAAAAAATTATAAAACTTAATACACATTTATTGAAAAAAGAATTTATAATACGAGTATCATTAAAGGTAAAAAATAATTGCTACATCATTCATGAACTGTCGTCCAAATTCAATGCAATAATCAGCTTGCTATAAGGGAAAGACACCTACTAATGAGCGTTCCCAGCACAGGCAGGCACATTTATGTTTTCAGCCTTAGCATATTTTCAAACCATCTGGCATCAATACCACTCTGGTTCACCCAGCCTAATCTGTTCAGAATTGAACAGAGCTACATGCACTTTGGGGAAACCAAAAAACAGCACACATGTAAAATAATGTTCCAAATGTGCAGCTCGAAACTAGTTTATACCTGAAATGTGTTTTTTTTTTAAATTTCCATTGAAGATGTTAACGCTCTCTTAAAAATAGTAGAATGGTTCAAGAAATCTGTATGAAGCATAGCCATCATCAGTTACCCAAGTCTTAATTCTTTTTTCTCATTTTCATCCTGATTACTAAATAAAGCATTTGAAGAGGTTCTTGTACAAAAAGATTCATTGATAC